TGTAAACTTACGAGATGAGGCCACGTATACTCTCAACCAAGGGCCACAATCTAAGTTGTAATACTATAAATACTCCCATGTATCTCTCACAAGGGTAATGCAAGATTCAACCCAAGAACAAATACAACATTCTTTACATTCTACTCTCTTGTAACATAAACTAATTCATACATGTTTTCTAAAAAGATCGATTGGTAATTATTGTACAATCGTTATGCAAACATCTTGTCGGATTCCAAATGTTCTCGTCCCGCGCCTTTGAGCCGCTCCAACGCCCACTTTTGCTATTATTTCTGGACCGTCAATGTGTCTTAGCGTGTTAGATCAGGCTTACGTGTGCGTGAGTGGGTCCGGTATCTGTTGGTAACATAATCTGGGGTCAACATATATAACAGACAATTTCCCAATCTAGCTTCTTATCTAACTTGGGGTTCTTTCATAGTTGAGTTATATATTTTCCTGTCTATCACTCTGGCCCTTTTTTAAGTTGCATCTTCTAATATTCCAGGCACCTGTTATGGTGCTAATTTGAGGAAGCAGATCGAGAAGATGGAAGTTAGTCAGCACAGCAAGTATTTCTTCGAGTTTTGTGAGAAGCCTTATGTTTTACATTTCTTGGTGTAATGTCATTCGTTTGGGATGCTTTGGTCTAACATTGCACTTCATCCAAATGGAACTGTTCTTGCAGTATGCAGTGAAGAGGAAGGCTGTGGGTATTTGGGGATGCAAGGACTGTGGCAAAGTCAAAGCTGGCGGTACTTGCACGTTAAAGTAATTATCCTGTATTGTTGCTTTATCTTTTTATTTATGTCACGCTCGACTAACCTAACACATTTTAATGTTTTGTTTTCTTTTTGTCAGCACCGCTAGTGTCGTGACAGTTAAGAGTACCATTCGTAGGCTGAGAAAGCAAATCGAGAGCTAGTTAAATAGGTTAATTTAGTTAAACTGTTATTTGGAGTCCTTTATATCCTTCTTTGGAACGAGTAACTTAACTACTTCAGACTCAGATATTGCAAATTATGCATTTTACTTTGAAAACTTTACAACAGCTTGCAGTTTTTATCTGATCAGCTTGCATCTTTCGGTTTCTTGCCTTGTTCAAGATACAAGTGTATTTGTAGTTCTGTACGACCAGCATTAGTCTCTTGAATACTGGTAGGTGCAAAGATGACCTTGTAGCATACTATAGATGTACCGAAAGAACGAAGGACGACGTCAAGCATACTCTATCATAAACTCTTAAACACAAAATTGCTTACTTATTTTACATTTTTGGTGCAATAGAGAGGGGCAGAGCTTGAAAAAACTCCCGAATCGAATTGAATAGAATCGGACCCGATCGAACTGAATTGAACGAAATGGTTGTTTTTAAGTTAAATACCCAAACGGGTATTTGAATCGAGAATTGACGAANTTAAGAATAAAAAAAAGGGAAGAAAATGGACTGTTCATTTGGTGCAAATTTTGGTGTAATGATTGGAGATGAATTTTAGTTTGACGCAAGATTTGGTGCGAAATGATGCAAAATTTGGTGTAGTACTAGAGATGGCCTAAGAGCATCTTCCCACAATTCACGAGGTTAGTCATGTATTAAAAGCATTCTGTGCAAAATGACACTTATATATTACTCAATTAAGTAAAACCACGTAAAGTTCCTTCCCCAATATTCATATCAATCGTCAAGTAAAATTCAAATCACCCAGCAGTTTCAATCACTGAAGTATTAAAACAAAAAAATTCCTAGTGGCAATTGCATGTGAAAAGCAAAATGTTTCTTACAAATTAATTTTATTATTTTGGGGTATGAATATTTTGGGAGCCCTGCAGATGATTATTATTAATTATTTCTATTTTAATAATTTTTGGGTAAATGGATAGTGCCTCTATCATGCTTGAATTCACGTCTACAGATATGCATATTGCATTACATCAAATCTTTCCTATGAAAAATTCCATCAAATGACAGTCAAATGCTACTTTCACTGAAAGGAAAAACTCTAGGGGATATGATCTTCATGTTAATCACTTCCAGTTTATGTGGAATTTGAAAGCAAAAAGGGAAATGTGGGATACCTTGTCTGATCTGTAGCAAATTTAAGGAAAAGGTGGCAAACTGAATCATCAAATCTATGTTCCACTCTAAACATGGAAAATTCTTAAGCTAAAGAAAAAGGAAATGAGAGCCTTTCCACTAACCTTTTTAATAAAAGGTTAGTTCCTAATTTATCTTTGTAACTCACATCACCAATATAGAACAGGAAATGGAGAACGGAATCAACACTTTACCATCTTATTTTGTTTTAACAGTTTCATCTTTTCATTTCTATGCTCTTTATTATCACATGCTGGTAAGGTGATATACCACTTACAGTTGAGCATTATTACTAACCCAGAGAAAACAATTCATAACAAAAATATTAGATTCTGACATGCAGCACCAAACGGCGAACTTAACTCCAAGGGTTTGCCCGGGGGTGGGGGCATATAAAGGATTTGAAACACTGAAAAAATAATTCGAGTGACAAAGGGCATGATTTTACAGGTATTATAAACAACAAAACAAAACTTCATTCATAAATTAACAATGAAAGAAGGTTGTAACAACTATCCAACAATTTATCAGGAGCAGGAAGAAATCTAAAGAAGTGAACATGATCCAAATCATAAACATTATCTTTTGTCCGAAAAAAACATGCCTTACGGGACAGATCACATATACACACAACATCAAGTTTATGCCAAAAATATTGACCAATAAAAACAAACTCCGTCTTTATTACCAAAAGAAGACTTGATTTGTTGACATGAAATATTCTGGGATCGACTTTTAAAATAAAACCTAGGATTTTATATATTTATATATCAAATGACAAGAAGCACAAAGCATATAAACGACTGGCAGAATGCAAATAAACATCCCCAAGATTACCTGTAATGGTAATGTCCAAGGCCATGTTTAACGCCCCACTTAAATTCCCCCACATAACGGCTCCCATCTTCGCAGGTATGTATACCACACCCATGGCTCTGCCCACTAGACCACTCCCCAGCATAGACATCTCCTGTATAAAACCTGTACACCCCAAAACCATGCCTAAGCCCCTGTCTGTACTGACCTCTATACCGGCTGCCCCTTGCCCATGTCTCTACTCCATATCCATCATACTTGCCATCCACCCAATCCCCCTCATATCTCCCGCTCATGTAATAATAATAAACCCCACTCCCATTACACTTTCCCTTGTGATACTCGCCCTCGTACACATCCCCATTGTTGTATGCCTCTACATAAGACCCTGAAATTGCTTTCTTATCCGCCTTGTGTGAAGACCCAATTGACCAAAATACCGGTAAATGTGGCCAGTTCGCTTGTTTTTTTCGACGAATTTTAACTGGTAACGACCTGGCAAGGTACAACCATATCGTGGGAAGTCTTGGAATGGCCAAATTGAGGGAAAACAAGAGCGCAGCAGAGAAGGCAAAGGCAGAGAGGAAATCAAGAATAAATGAGCTGGAAGGGTGGGAGACCAGGAAGTAAAAGAAAGGGAGACTGAGGAGAAGTATGAGGCGGAGGTGGAGGCGCATTCGACGGCGTAGGTAATGAACATGGTGGTGAAAATGGGTCAAGAAGTTTTGAGACCTTGTATAAAGAAGATTAAACTTTGAAGGAGGATTTTTTCCAGAAAACCCATATCTGTGAAGGGCATTTGACAAAGTCGGAGTCTTGGTAAGCGAACTTGAAATTTGTTGAACATTAGGTCTCTTCAAAGGTGAGGGTTTGAGGGGAAACCGATCATTTTGACCCTTCAGTCGATTTTCATCATTGATAAGGATCTGAAGGGTACTATTATTCACGTAAGACGACGAATTTGAAGGATGGTGAGTATTTGGGTGAAAATTTTGGAAAAGATGTGGATGTTTTTGTGTAAGGGAAGAAGGGGGCAGTGGGATAGGGTTGAAATCGGAAGAGATGCCACTGCTTTCTGTTCCGATCTGAACTTCAGATTTTTTCTGACGCATTACATATATAAAACCAAATTCACAAACAGATTCAATCTATTTAAAAATTTCACAGTGTGTTTTCTGTTCTTGATTTTCTGCAGTTTCTCGGTTTGTTCAAATGGATGGAGGTGTGGGATTTAATGAATTTCTGCGTCAACAGATTTATATATACTATATATGTGTGTGAATTGAAGATTTAGCGCGTGCGTGCGTGTGTGAGAAAGAGAGAGACAGAGAGCGCGCGCGGAGGCTGCGAGGAGTTTAATGGTGGGATTATTTGATATCAATGGCGACCGGCCGCAAAAGGCCGCGAACTGGTTATAAGCTACTTGCCTTTTTGCATTTGCCCCTTGCCTATTGGATTATTACCTAATTTGCCACTATTTGATGGATCCAATATTTATTTCCTTTTGGTCCTTCTATTTTACGGAGAAATACAAATGAGTATCTCTAGTGGCGAACCTTTTCAAAATAAATGAAAAAAATTCTTAGTAATTCCTACTTAATGAATCAAATCCTATTTATATACATAAAAATTTCAAATTTGACCCCCTTTTTCAATCAATAGTTAATCCAAAGAAATCGAGTTGTTTGAATGAAGTAGTTGATTATTGAATAAATGAAGATAAAATTCTTCTACACAAATGTTTGGCTCATCGCATCCAACAATTAGAATAACAATTTCAAGTGAATCACAAGAACTCTTCAAAGATAGACGCAACCTAATGTGACCCCAACAAGTCGTAATTGAATATAAACAAAATTAAGGAGCTCAAAAAGAATATCATATAAATAATAAGTTTTCTCATAAGATATCTCAAATACTTGAAGCAAAATACAATAATAATTAATGTTGATTAGAAATACTTATTTAATGTCTCCAATAAAGAAAAGAGAATAATCATTTTTACTTTTTGTTTTTTTCATTTATGGCCGAAAATTTCAGAAAATAAATCTCTTATCTAAAAATTTCCTTGATTTGCAATGCAAGTATTGTTGACTACTCATGATAGAGTCAAAATTAACATTATTAATGCAATGTAACATTATTTAATCACGTCTAAATTAATGCTAAGTCAACCCAATTATTCATCTTAACGTAAGATATTAATTAATAATCATCTGGCAGAAATAATATTCTCTTCTCAATTAATAATATTATTATTGAAATATTAAATGATTCATCATATTCATAGGTTACAACATAGATTTATGAGTGCTGGTACAAGTACAACTGTTGATGAAACCTTTTCGACTTCAAAAAGTGACATACAAAGCCTCATGCACGCTAACATCTTCCATCTCCACTGCATAGATAACAACGTAAGATATTAATTAATAATCATCTGGCAGAAATAATATTCTCTTCTCAATTAATAATATTATTATTGAAATATTAAATGATTCATCATATTCATAGGTTACAACATAGATTTATGAGTGCTGGTACAAGTACAACTGTTGATGAAACCTTTTCGACTTCAAAAAGTGACATACAAAGCCTCATGCACGCTAACATCTTCCATCTCCACTGCATAGATAATAATTCAAAGAATTAATCTATTTGTACTGTGAATCTTGTACAAATAGATTTATAGGTACTGCGTTGACAGCACTTGTATGATTAAATTATTATTATTATTATTATTATTATTATTATTATTATTATTATTATTATTATTTTCTTTTTTGCCAACGGTCAATGAAAAATTGTCAAATATTTCCCAGTACAAAACACTGTCAAACTTCCTTGTACACATTGCATTTCTCTAACTAAAATTAGGTGTTTTAATTTGACATGCCCGACATATTTAGTATGTTAAAATTAAGTCATCGATTTAAAAAATAATTTTAATTTTATCCATCGTTAGAGTCAATTGTATCTTGATATTCAATAAGTTTTTTTCTGACTCGTTCTTAGTTAAATGTAAGTGGAGTTCCATGTTTAAAAAAATATCCTTAAAATAAATTTTCAACGTAATTATCACTATAGCTAAAAGTTTAAAGTAATACTATTGATCACCACTGGTGTTAGGCATTAATATCAATGACAACAATATGACATTAAATGATAGGTTCAGTTAAATGTAATATCACATAATTAATTTAATTACACCAATCAATTGTGGTTATCTAAATTGATGTTCAAATATCACTGATACTAAATATCATTATTTGAAAGGTCAACATTGTAAAATAAATTAAGTGAAAAGCATATGCTAATTAATTATATCACAAAATTCCGTGCTTCTACCCATTATTGTTACTTTAGTGTCCAGATTAGCTTTCACTGGCCCAATGTAATCAATTAAGTAGAAAGCATTAAAAAGACAAAATGAGTAGAATTTGAGTTAAAAGGGCTATGGAGTGGTCTTTTTGACCTCTAGGTTTAGTACAAGTGCCAAATTATGGAGAGAAAAAATAAATAGTCTCTCTCTAAAGTAACCATGGTAGAGAGTAGGGCCCGATGTTTCTCGAATCATATATTTGAAGATATTATATATTTTTGAGCCTATTTTTCTATCATCCAATCGTATACGAGGATATGGTTGAAGTGTGTGAATTACAAATTACGAATCTTGTGTGTTTGACATGAATTCAGGAGGTAAAAAGAACGAGAAAATGACAACAAAAATGACATGTTCAACACTATTGGAACTGAAGTTAGGACAATTAACTAATACTTTCAATCTATCAAGAACATAAATATCGAACGAGATGAAATTCGATCCACTTCGAATGATCTGTAAAATTAGCTCGAATCTTTAGTAGTATCGATCTCCCTCTGTTTTATAAAATGTGAAAATGTATAAAGAGATGAAAATAGGGTAAAAATGAAAATAAAAAAAGGGATTGCAATTGTTAAAGTATCCACTTGTCTTTTGTTTTCCTTTTCAAATGGAGCAGGTTAAATTTTTGATGAGTTGGAAATGTGTGATTGAATACTATACTATTGATTGATTTTTGGTAATTGATTTGACAAATACCCCCAATGTTATCCATTGATTAAGACTAATAGCGTCATCCATTATTTTGAAATTTGTCTTGTCAGGTGATTTTTTGTTAGATTGCTTCATTCTTAATCAATTATAAGTCATCGAGACATTATGATCGAATATGCTTTGACATTCAACTAAAAGGATTTCTAAAATTGTTGTTTTCGAAGTCGATAGAATCAAGTGATCAGAGATATATTAAAAAAAATTCTTCACTCAAACTCTTCTCTATGACGCATCATAAGATACAGACCAGGCAGAATTTACAGTCCCAATTAAGTGGCAAATAAAAAAATTAAAAAGTCAATCAATGCCACCTATACTGTGGACGATAGATAGCTATACTCGTAAGAAAATTGTACGCCGAAAACCTACTAACGCATTTCTCTAACATTGTCCTCAAACTTTGATTTCACTACATGAAAAGCATGTTCGACAGTAATTATAAAAATTGATTTTTACCTTTAAAGAGAAGTATATCCTACATGTAAATGAAGAATTCAAAAATAACGACTGAAATAATAAAAAACAATCAAAAAATTGATTTTTTTGGAATGAAAAATTGCTACCAAATGAGAGCGAAAATCAGAAAGATTTAGCCTGATGGTAAGTACAATTTTCCAACGCAATTACACAGTGTGAAGGCTCATTTTCCCATTTTTTGTCAGCTTTGTAAACATTAACAGCTTCATGTAGGATTACATTGGAAACAGTACTACATGGCTGCTCCATAGGAAAATATAGCTCCAACGTATGGATACACAACGGGCAACAATTAAGTATTTCAAACAGTTACAAACCTGAAAAGGATATAAAAATTACATGTACTGTGTCTAATTTATGGAAAGACCTTAAACGGCTAATTTGCAACAGTGCACCTCAATCATTCAGTTTCCTCGTATTCATCTCTCTTTGTGTACCTGGCTTGTAAACCCACCTTAAGAACTTGTACATCATCGAAGCCAGATGAAAACCACTTCTGGGCAGAAAATGTGACTCCAATTCAACTGATCGGAAACTCCTCCGGTCAAGGCTTGTGAAGCTTGAAGCCAAAAACTCTTTGGGTGTAACTTTGTGATGGCTTTTGGGGCTTGAGGTGTCCATATGTCATCAAGAAGAGATGAGGGAATGTGGTACCGAAATAAGCTCCATCGATATCTTTGTCAGTTAAAAGAAATCGTTTCCACAAAGTTCATGCTACAAAATGTCTGGAGCCCATTGATGCAGTATCTAATAACTATTATCGAATCCTTTATGCTTCAATGCACATGTCAAGCTGCCGAAAACACCCTTTATCATTCATGAATTCAAAGACAGTAGCCTAAATAAGTTCCTAGGATAAATTAAGATAATTTTGCAGTTGCATGGGTATCTTTCACAATATAAGAAAATTATAACAAGGCTGATTTTTCCACCCTATTAGGATTCAGGATTAAAAAGTATAGTATTATTGAGAGATGCAAGAAATTTCGATAATCATTGATAGAAGAGATCTTTTTCTTTTCATTGATAAGCCAAACAAGAAGTCAGAATCAAAAAAAGCTGGCCAGATATTTTATTTGGTCAGCAACATTGAAATCAAGCGATTTCAAGAAGAGAATGGAGAACTTATTGGAAGCTAGGGCTTTCAGTAAGGAAGGTGAGATTAGTAGTTAGTTTCTGTTGCATTGTCTGGTAGAACTTGAATCATGGTGGTTCTGATACTCAACAACACGAGACGGAGTGTATTTCAGAAAATGCATTTTTACGTGCTTTAATGTGTATTGTGTGAGAAAGACACGTGGATCCAGCATAGACAAGAATGCAAATTAAACAGAGAGCGGAAGCCTCAGAAAAATAGTATAATGTAGGATACTGCCTTGGTACTTGGATCGAGGGTAGTAAATATCTTCACACTTGGGACAGTATATCTTCACAGTACTTGAACGTGGGATGTCAGATTGACCAACCGGAAGGCAAGGCTGTCCACAGCAGTAAACTCTTGGGCATCTTCCAAAGTCATAGTTTTTGTACTTCTCCAACTGTAAAATTCGCATCTCAACAAGTTATATGACTACAATAAATGGACAGAAATCCAAAGACAAATATAACCTGACTAATAATGTTACCATTGCAGCCATTCCCTTGCTTGTCAAAATGTATCGGACATGAATAAGACCATAGAGCATCTCTGCTGCTGATTCAACCAACTCATTTTGTTCCTCGGTAAACATATCATCTATTCATGCCCATAAATGAGAAAACATTATTACCAGCATCACACATCTCAGAAAAAGGGAGTAAAGGGGTAAAGGAGAAACAGCAATTGCACCAAATAAATTGCAGCAATTGACAAGGTAGGGAAAAGGAAATAACATCCCAACGTAAACTGCAACCTCAGCCAGCTTTACTATAGAAATGTCTGAGAAATAATTCAGCACAAGGGACCATTGTTTTATTGAAGTTACAACAGAGAAAGGTAAGCATGCCCCTATTTAGAAACAACTAACAAAGATCAATCCAGAAATGGAAGTTTTAGTTAAGCCAGAGCCCATGATAATTGGGACTTTCTAAAAGCTTTCGGCAGCAAATGATAAATGTTGTATGGCTACTTACCACATCTATTATCACTATCGAATATACACACACATACAGGATTTTGTAAAGGTTGCATAATTAGACTGAAATGAATTGAACCTACAACTGCACTAAATAATCGAGATCAGCTGATTATATATCCAGTAATTGAGATGATTTTGCAGCGAATTTTATGGGATTGGACGCTGCCACTATGAAGATACTTCAGTACATTTCCTGGAAATGAATACTATAGTTATGAGGATGATTATGCGGCTGATAGGTGCTGCAATTATTGAGATAATCTGGGGTAGATTGGTGGTGAGCGAGGATGATCCTGTGTAACGACAGCGAGCCACTCAATTGGCACCAGCATTTAACATAAGTACCTGTTAAGGGAGGTTTGGGTTTGAATGGCTGAGGACGATAAAGAAATCCATAAGGAAAAAGATGGGCACAGGCTCGCAGAGCGGACATTATGAATGAGTACTGGGATTAGTTGTAATTTCCACCTCCTCCTAATGCTAATGTTATTCACGACTTCATGCTGGGCAAACAAATTATAATTCAGATATAGCACTGAAAATTATGTCATGATGCACCTCAAAAAGCCCAGCACAAATAAAGTTATAGATAGACTCAATCGATTCTTGTTCTGAATTTATATGGGGCTGGCTACATAGATCCTTCTTTTACGCTCTGATACATGACAGATCATCTTCAAAGTTATAAAGGCCACCTCCAATGTTAAATTACAAAAGGTTTTAGTCCTTTTAAATTATCGCTCCATGTGATTTTAGGTCAGCCTTCATTTTGGTTTACTGTTACTCCTATTACTATATGCAATCAGCATCTACCAGGTTTTTTGCATGTGCTCAAACCATTTAAAACCTATCTGGATACCTACATTGCTGGTGAGTTTCCTCGCGCAATTGAAATTTCAATAAATGTGTTCAGAAATGGTTATTATTGCAAGTTTTCAAAGGGTCCAAACAAAATTATTCTCATTACTTTGCGTAAGGTAATCCCATAAAAGCAAAGATCCTCTATCAATATACTCTCCATATATGAACTTTCCAGCATCAAATTTAAAAATTAAAGAAGTACATAAAATGAAGAACGATACAAGATTTATTAAATCAATCCTTTCTTATTTACATGAAAAATATTGCTCTATTTAAAGAATGTAGACAGTTTATCATAGCATTATTAGCGATCAATAAGAGAAAGCAGGACTTAATAACTAACTTGAGGTGGTAATGCTTGCATGTCTCTAAAGCAAAAGGCTTCTGACTTTCATTGAGGTTATCCTACATAACAAGTCTCATAGGTATACTTATGTTCAAAGGCTGGAATTTCTCACAAAGATAGCATTGTACCAATTAAGTTAGTCAGATTACTTAAAAGCCAGCATAAGAATAATTCAAAAGATTGAGTAAGATGGATGCTGTAGTAGTTTTCATTTTGCATCACCCCAACTGAATTTCACTACTTCATTGATTCTCTTCAACTATCTTCTATAGTTAGTTTACCCATACTAAATAGATGGTTCCCAAAACTGATATTATAAGAAACACAGGTAATGGGATGAAGTTGAGAGAGGCGAAAATTTGACTTTTGTCCAAAATGCCTGGGAAGTACATTCGCAAGAATGAAACTCGAAGGAATTAATGGGTAACTACTCGACCAGTTTCCTTAAAATGAGTTCATAGGTTCCTTTAAGTTTGAGTGTACAGGAGGGATTCTCCTAAGAGGAGCTTTAGAGGGAATAGGGGTCAAACGATTTTTATGAACTGTCTTTGATCAAGCTTTACAGTAAAATGTTGAGGCCAATTAGAGAAATGATTCATTTTCCCGAAATGTAATTCTACTTGCCTCCACCTATATACTATTTACTCAGCAATTGAGAGAAGCTACTCAAATATTCTATCAGAAAGACCTAAATTCAAAAACCACCACGCTAGCGAGTATACAGAAGGATCTAAACAATGTCTGCATTATAACCTGGTATTAGAGACTGATTACTAAGTCGCTGAAAGTTATCTAATTGCATCCTAAATTGCAATTTCTAATTATTCATAACATGTTCATCGCTCATCGACTTACACTACCACATAAGAATTAATGCAACTCCATATATCAAGAAAGCAATTAACTACTTTGAATTATAATATGCTTGAGGACCTCCATACAGTCTCAAGATGCAATCAAATAAATTCTTTCCTCCGGGCCTTTTCCAAACAAATTGATTAAGGATATTTGGGTCATTTGTGCTATATATTTTTTAACACAATAAATTATTAATATTATTATTTGCATTTAAAATAAATTTTAAATATAAAAAATAATAATTAATGAATCAATTAAAAGAAAAAAAAATTTAAAATATAACAAACACGATTATTTCTTAAAGTTAACACGAAATATATTAAACGACGGTATACATACGATAATCTAATTTTATTTAAAGAAAACGATACGAATCCCGAGAATTAAATTGCAATAATATTTCGACTTTATAATATCCCAATTCGAAATGCATTGCATTATTTTTTAATGGCATGATTTAATATTTTCATTGTTGTAGTGTTTTTATTAATTGTACTATGTTTTTTTATATCTATTAATGAATTTAATCTTTTCCATAATTTAACGTAATTATTTATTTAGTAATTTATGTATTTATAAAGTAATTACATAAATAATATTTCAAATAAATAAATTATTAAGAATAAAAAAAAGGGAAGAAAATGGACTGTTCATTTGGTGCAAATTTTGGTGTAATGATTGGAGATGAATTTTAGTTTGGCGCAAGATTTGGTGCGAAATGATGCAAAATTTGGTGTAGTGCTAGAGATGGCCTAAGAGCATCTTCCCACAATTCACGAGGTTAGTCATGTATTAAAAGCATTCTGTGCAAAATGACACTTATATATTACTCAATTAAGTAAAACCATGTAAAGTTCCTTCCCCAATATTCATATCAATCATCAAGTAAAATTCAAATCACCCAGCAGTTTCAATCACTGAAGTATTAAAACAAAAAAATTCCTAGTGGCAATTGCATGTGAAAAGCAAAATGTTTCTTACAAATTAATTTTATTATTTTGGGGTATGAATATTTTGGGAGCCCTGCAGATGATTATTATTAATTATTTCTATTTTAATAATTTTTGGGTAAATGGATAGTGCCTCTATCATGCTTGAATTCACGTCTACAGATATGCATATTGCATTACATCAAATCTTTCCTATGAAAAATTCCATCAAATGACAGTCAAATGCTACTTTCACTGAAAGGAAAAACTCTAGGGGATATGATCTTCATGTTAATCACTTTCAGTTTATGTGGAATTTGAAAGCAAAAAGGGAAATGTGGGATACCTTGTCTGATCTGTAGCAAATTTAAGGAAAAGGTGGCAAACTGAATCATCAAATCTATGTTCCACTCTAAACATGGAAAATTCGTAAGCTAAAGAAAAAGGAAATGAGAGCCTTTCCACTAACCTTTTTAATAAAAGGTTAGTTCCTAATTTATCTTTGTAACTCACATCACCAATATAGAACAGGAAATGGAGAACGGAATCAACACTTTACCATCTTATTTTGTTTTAACAGTTTCATCTTTTCATTTCTATGCTCTTTATTATCACATGCTGGTAAGGTGATATACCACTTACAGTTGAGCATTATTACTAACCCAGAGAAAACAATTCATAACAAAAATATTAGATTCTGACATGCAGCACCAAACGGCGAACTTAACTCCAAGGGTTTGCCCGGGGGTGGGGGCATATAAAGGATTTGAAACACTGAAAAAATAATTCGAGTGACAAAGGGCATGATTTTACAGGTATTATAAACAACAAAACAAAACTTCATTCATAAATTAACAATGAAAGAAGGTTGTAACAACTATCCAACAATTTATCAGGAGCAGGAAGAAATCTAAAGAAGTGAACATGATCCAAATCATAAACATTATCTTTTGTCCGAAAAAAACATGCCTTACGGGACAGATCACATATACACACAACATCAAGTTTATGCCAAAAATATTGACCAATAAAAACAAACTCCGTCTTTATTACCAAAAGAAGACTTGATTTGTTGACATGAAATATTCTGGGATCGACTTTTAAAATAAAACCTAGGATTTTATATATTTATATATCAAATGACGAGAAGCACAAAGCATATAAACGACTGGCAGAATGCAAATAAACATCCCCAAGATTACCTGTAATGGTAATGTCCAAGGCCATGTTTAACGCCCCACTTAAATTCCCCCACATAACGGCTCCCATCTTCGCAGGTATGTATACCACACCCATGGCTCTGCCCACTAGACCACTCCCCAGCATAGACATCTCCTGTATAAAACCTGTACACCCCAAAACCATGCCTAAGCCCCTGTCTGTACTGACCTCTATACCGGCTGCCCCTTGCCCATGTCTCTACTCCATATCCATCATACTTGCCATCCACCCAATCCCCCTCATATCTCCCGCTCATGTAATAATAATAAACCCCACTCCCATTACACTTTCCCTTGTGATACTCGCCCTCGTACACATCCCCATTGTTGTATGCCTCTACATAAGACCCTGAAATTGCTTTCTTATCCGCCTTGTGTGAAGACCCAATTGACCAAAATACCGGTAAATGTGGCCAGTTCGCTTGTTTTTTTCGACGAATTTTAACTGGTAACGACCTGGCAAGGTACAACCATATCGTGGGAAGTCTTGGAATGGCCAAATTGAGGGAAAACAAGAGCGCAGCAGAGAAGGCAAAGGCAGAGAGGAAATCAAGAATAAATGAGCTGGAAGGGTGGGAGACCAGGAAGTAAAAGAAAGGGAGACTGAGGAGAAGTATGAGGCGGAGGTGGAGGCGCATTCGACGGCGTAGGTAATGAACATGGTGGTGAAAATGGGTCAAGAAGTTTTGAGACCTTGTATAAAGAAGATTAAACTTTGAAGGAGGATTTTTTCCAGAAAACCCATATCTGTGAAGGGCATTTGACAAAGTCGGAGTCTTGGTAAGCGAACTTGAAATTTGTTGAACATTAGGTCTCTTCAAAGGTGAGGGTTTGAGGGGAAACCGATCATTTTGACCCTTCAGTCGATTTTCATCATTGATAAGGATCTGAAGGGTACTATTATTCACGTAAGACGACGAATTTGAAGGATGGTGAGTATTTGGGTGAAAATTTTGGAAAAGATGTGGATGTTTTTGTGTAAGGGAAGAAGGGGGCAGTGGGATAGGGTTGAAATCGGAAGAGATGCCACTGCTTTCTGTTCCGATCTGAACTTCAGATTTTTTCTGACGCATTACATATATAAAACCAAATTCACAAACAGATTCAATCTATTTAAAAATTTCACAGTGTGTTTTCTGTTCTTGATTTTCTGCAGTTTCTCGGTTTGTTCAAATGGATGGAGGTGTGGGATTTAATGAATTTCTGCGTCAACAGATTTATATATACTATATATGTGTGTGAATTGAAGATTTAGCGCGTGCGTGCGTGTGTGAGAAAGAGAGAGACAGAGAGCGCGCGCGGAGGCTGCGAGGAGTTTAATGGTGGGATTATTTGATATCAATGGCGACCGGCCGCAAAAGGCCGCGAACTGGTTATAAGCTACTTGCCTTTTTGCATTTGCCCCTTGCCTATTGGATTATTACCTAATTTGCCACTATTTGATGGATCCAATATTTATTTCCTTTTGGTCCTTCTATTTTACGGAGAAATACAAATGAGTATCTCTAGTGGCGAACCTTTTCAAAATAAATGAAAAAAATTCTTAGTAATTCCTACTTAATGAATCAAATCCTATTTATATACATAAAAATTTCAAATTTGACCCCCTTTTTCAATCAATAGTTAATCCAAAGAAATCGAGTTGTTTGAATGAAGTAGTTGATTATTGAATAAATGAAGATAAAATTCTTCTACACAAATGTTTGGCTCATCGCATCCAACAATTAGAATAACAATTTCAAGTGAATCACAAGAACTCTTCAAAGATAGACGCAACCTAATGTGACCCCAACAAGTCGTAATTGAATATAAACAAAATTAAGGAGCTCAAAAAGAATATCATATAAATAATAAGTTTTCTCATAAGATATCTCAAATACTTGAAGCAAAATACAATAATAATTAATGTTGATTAGAAATACTTATTTAATGTCTCCAATAAAGAAAAGAGAATAATCATTTTTACTTTTTGTTTTTTTCATTTATGGCCGAAAATTTCAGAAAATAAATCTCTTATCTAAAAATTTCCTTGATTTGCAATGCAAGTATTGTTGACTACTCATGATAGAGTCAAAATTAACATTATTAATGCAATGTAACATTATTTAATCACGTCTAAATTAATGCTAAGTCAACCCAATTATTCATCTTAACGTAAGATATTAATTAATAATCATCTGGCAGAAATAATATTCTCTTCTCAATTAATAATATTATTATTGAAATATTAAATGATTCATCATATTCATAGGTTACAACATAGATTTATGAGTGCTGGTACAAGTACAACTGTTGATGAAACCTTTTCGACTTCAAAAAGTGACATACAAAGCCTCATGCACGCTAACATCTTCCATCTCCACTGCATAGATAATAATTCAAAGAATTAATCTATCTGTACTGTGAATCTTGTACAAATAGATTTATAGGTACTACGTTGACAGCACTTGTATGATTAAATTATTATTATTATTATTATTTTCTTTTTTGCCAACGGTCAATGAAAAATTGTCAAATATTTCCCAGTACAAAACACTGTCAAACTTCCTTGTACACATTGCATTTCTCTAACTAAAATTAGGTGTTTTAATTTGACATGCCCGACATATTTAGTATGTTAAAATTAAGTCATCGATTTAAAAAATAATTTTAATTTTATCCATCGTTAGAGTCAATTGTATCTTGATATTCAATAAGTTTTTTTCTGACTCGTTCTTAGTTAAATGTAAGTGGAGTTCCATGTTTAAAAAAATATCCTTAAAATAAATTTTCAACGTAATTATCACTATAGCTAAAAGTTTAAAGTAATACTATTGATCACCACTGGTGTTAGGCATTAATATCAATGACAACAATATGACATTAAATGATAGGTTCAGTTAAATGTAATATCACATAATTAATTTAATTACACCAATCAATTGTGGTTATCTAAATTGATGTTCAAATATCACTGATACTAAATATCATTATTTGAAAGGTCAACATTGTAAAATAAATTAAGTGAAAAGCATATGCTAATTAATTATATCACAAAATTCCGTGCTTCTACCCATTATTGTTACTTTAGTGTCCAGATTAGCTTTCACTGGCCCAATGTAATCAATTAAGTAGAAAGCATTAAAAAGACAAAATGAGTAGAATTTGAGTTAAAAGGGCTATGGAGTGGTCTTTTTGACCTCTAGGTTTAGTACAAGTGCCAAATTATGGAGAGAAAAAATAAATAGTCTCTCTCTAAAGTAACCATGGTAGAGAGTAGGGCCCGATGTTTCTCGAATCATATATTTGAAGATATTATATATTTTTGAGCCTATTTTTCTATCATCCAATCGTATACGAGGATATGGTTGAAGTGTGTGAATTACAAATTACGAATCTTGTGTGTTTGACATGAATTCAGGAGGTAAAAAGAACGAGAAAATGACAACAAAAATGACATGTTCAACACTATTGGAACTGAAGTTAGGACAATTAACTAATACTTTCAATCTATCAAGAACATAAATATCGAACGAGATGAAATTCGATCCACTTCGAATGATCTGTAAAATTAGCTCGAATCTTTAGTAGTATCGATCTCCCTCTGTTTTATAAAATGTGAAAATGTATAAAGAGATGAAAATAGGGTAAAAATGAAAATAAAAAAAGGGATTGCAATTGTTAAAGTATCCACTTGTCTTTTGTTTTCCTTTTCAAATGGAGCAGGTTAAATTTTTGATGAGTTGGAAATGTGTGATTGAATACTATACTATTGATTGATTTTTGGTAATTGATTTGACAAATACCCCCAATGTTATCCATTGATTAAGACTAATAGCGTCATCCATTATTTTGAAATTTGTCTTGTCAGGTGATTTTTTGTTAGATTGCTTCATTCTTAATCAATTATAAGTCATCGAGACATTATGATCGAATATGCTTTGACATTCAACTAAAAGGATTTCTAAAATTGTTGTTTTCGAAGTCGATAGAATCAAGTGATCAGAGATATATTAAAAAAAATTCTTCACTCAAACTCTTCTCTATGACGCATCATAAGATACAGACCAGGCAGAATTTACAGTCCCAATTAAGTGGCAAATAAAAAAATTAAAAAGTCAATCAATGCCACCTATACTGTGGACGATAGATAGCTATACTCGTAAGAAAATTGTACGCCGAAAACCTACTAACGCATTTCTCTAACATTGTCCTCAAACTTTGATTTCACTACATGAAAAGCATGTTCGACAGTAATTATAAAAATTGATTTTTACCTTTAAAGAGAAGTATATCCTACATGTAAATGAAGAATTCAAAAATAACGACTGAAATAATAAAAAACAATCAAAAAATTGATTTTTTTGGAATGAAAAATTGCTACCAAATGAGAGCGAAAATCAGAAAGATTTAGCCTGATGGTAAGTACAATTTTCCAACGCAATTACACAGTGTGAAGGCTCATTTTCCCATTTTTTGTCAGCTTTGTAAACATTAACAGCTTCATGTAGGATTACATTGGAAACAGTACTACATGGCTGCTCCATAGGAAAATATAGCTCCAACGTATGGATACACAACGGGCAACAATTAAGTATTTCAAACAGTTACAAACCTGAAAAGGATATAAAAATTACATGTACTGTGTCTAATTTATGGAAAGACCTTAAACGGCTAATTTGCAACAGTGCACCTCAATCATTCAGTTTCCTCGTATTCATCTCTCTTTGTGTACCTGGCTTGTAAACCCACCTTAAGAACTTGTACATCATCGAAGCCAGATGAAAACCACTTCTGGGCAGAAAATGTGACTCCAATTCAACTGATCGGAAACTCCTCCGGTCAAGGCTTGTGAAGCTTGAAGCCAAAAACTCTTTGGGTGTAACTTTGTGATGGCTTTTGGGGCTTGAGGTGTCCATATGTCATCAAGAAGAGATGAGGGAATGTGGTACCGAAATAAGCTCCATCGATATCTTTGTCAGTTAAAAGAAATCGTTTCCACAAAGTTCATGCTACAAAATGTCTGGAGCCCATTGATGCAGTATCTAATAACTATTATCGAATCCTTTATGCTTCAATGCACATGTCAAGCTGCCGAAAACACCCTTTATCATTCATGAATTCAAAGACAGTAGCCTAAATAAGTTCCTAGGATAAATTAAGATAATTTTGCAGTTGCATGGGTATCTTTCACAATATAAGAAAATTATAACAAGGCTGATTTTTCCACCCTATTAGGATTCAGGATTAAAAAGTATAGTATTATTGAGAGATGCAAGAAATTTCGATAATCATTGATAGAAGAGATCTTTTTCTTTTCATTGATAAGCCAAACAAGAAGTCAGAATCAAAAAAAGCTGGCCAGATATTTTATTTGGTCAGCAACATTGAAATCAAGCGATTTCAAGAAGAGAATGGAGAACTTATTGGAAGCTAGGGCTTTCAGTAAGGAAGGTGAGATTAGTAGTTAGTTTCTGTTGCATTGTCTGGTAGAACTTGAATCATGGTGGTTCTGATACTCAACAACACGAGACGGAGTGTATTTCAGAAAATGCATTTTTACGTGCTTTAATGTGTATTGTGTGAGAAAGACACGTGGATCCAGCATAGACAAGAATGCAAATTAAACAGAGAGCGGAAGCCTCAGAAAAATAGTATAATGTAGGATACTGCCTTGGTACTTGGATCGAGGGTAGTAAATATCTTCACACTTGGGACAGTATATCTTCACAGTACTTGAACGTGGGATGTCAGATTGACCAACCGGAAGGCAAGGCTGTCCACAGCAGTAAACTCTTGGGCATCTTCCAAAGTCATAGTTTTTGTACTTCTCCAACTGTAAAATTCGCATCTCAACAAGTTATATGACTACAATAAATGGACAGAAATCCAAAGACAAATATAACCTGACTAATAATGTTACCATTGCAGCCATTCCCTTGCTTGTCAAAATGTATCGGACATGAATAAGACCATAGAGCATCTCTGCTGCTGATTCAACCAACTCATTTTGTTCCTCGGTAAACATATCATCTATTCATGCCCATAAATGAGAAAACATTATTACCAGCATCACACATCTCAGAAAAAGGGAGTAAAGGGGTAAAGGAGAAACAGCAATTGCACCAAATAAATTGCAGCAATTGACAAGGTAGGGAAAAGGAAATAACATCCCAACGTAAACTGCAACCTCAGCCAGCTTTACTATAGAAATGTCTGAGAAATAATTCAGCACAAGGGACCATTGTTTTATTGAAGTTACAACAGAGAAAGGTAAGCATGCCCCTATTTAGAAACAACTAACAAAGATCAATCCAGAAATGGAAGTTTTAGTTAAGCCAGAGCCCATGATAATTGGGACTTTCTAAAAGCTTTCGGCAGCAAATGATAAATGTTGTATGGCTACTTACCACATCTATTATCACTATCGAATATACACACACATACAGGATTTTGTAAAGGTTGCATAATTAGACTGAAATGAATTGAACCTACAACTGCACTAAATAATCGAGATCAGCTGATTATATATCCAGTAATTGAGATGATTTTGCAGCGAATTTTATGGGATTGGACGCTGCCACTATGAAGATACTTCAGTACATTTCCTGGAAATGAATACTATAGTTATGAGGATGATTATGCGGCTGATAGGTGCTGCAATTATTGAGATAATCTGGGGTAGATTGGTGGTGAGCGAGGATGATCCTGTGTAACGACAGCGAGCCACTCAATTGGCACCAGCATTTAACATAAGTACCTGTTAAGGGAGGTTTGGGTTTGAATGGCTGAGGACGATAAAGAAATCCATAAGGAAAAAGATGGGCACAGGCTCGCAGAGCGGACATTATGAATGAGTACTGGGATTAGTTGTAATTTCCACCTCCTCCTAATGCTAATGTTATTCACGACTTCATGCTGGGCAAACAAATTATAATTCAGATATAGCACTGAAAATTATGTCATGATGCACCTCAAAAAGCCCAGCACAAATAAAGTTATAGATAGACTCAATCGATTCTTGTTCTGAATTTATATGGGGCTGGCTACATAGATCCTTCTTTTACGCTCTGATACATGACAGATCATCTTCAAAGTTATAAAGGCCACCTCCAATGTTAAATTACAAAAGGTTTTAGTCCTTTTAAATTATCGCTCCATGTGATTTTAGGTCAGCCTTCATTTTGGTTTACTGTTACTCCTATTACTATATGCAATCAGCATCTACCAGGTTTTTTGCATGTGCTCAAACCATTTAAAACCTATCTGGATACCTACATTGCTGGTGAGTTTCCTCGCGCAATTGAAATTTCAATAAATGTGTTCAGAAATGGTTATTATTGCAAGTTTTCAAAGGGTCCAAACAAAATTATTCTCATTACTTTGCGTAAGGTAATCCCATAAAAGCAAAGATCCTCTATCAATATACTCTCCATATATGAACTTTCCAGCATCAAATTTAAAAATTAAAGAAGTACATAAAATGAAGAACGATACAAGATTTATTAAATCAATCCTTTCTTATTTACATGAAAAATATTGCTCTATTTAAAGAATGTAGACAGTTTATCATAGCATTATTAGCGATCAATAAGAGAAAGCAGGACTTAATAACTAACTTGAGGTGGTAATGCTTGCATGTCTCTAAAGCAAAAGGCTTCTGACTTTCATTGAGGTTATCCTACATAACAAGTCTCATAGGTATACTTATGTTCAAAGGCTGGAATTTCTCACAAAGATAGCATTGTACCAATTAAGTTAGTCAGATTACTTAAAAGCCAGCATAAGAATAATTCAAAAGATTGAGTAAGATGGATGCTGTAGTAGTTTTCATTTTGCATCACCCCAACTGAATTTCACTACTTCATTGATTCTCTTCAACTATCTTCTATAGTTAGTTTACCCATACTAAATAGATGGTTCCCAAAACTGATATTATAAGAAACACAGGTAATGGGATGAAGTTGAGAGAGGCGAAAATTTGACTTTTGTCCAAAATGCCTGGGAAGTACATTCGCAAGAATGAAACTCGAAGGAATTAATGGGTAACTACTCGACCAGTTTCCTTAAAATGAGTTCATAGGTTCCTTTAAGTTTGAGTGTACAGGAGGGATTCTCCTAAGAGGAGCTTTAGAGGGAATAGGGGTCAAACGATTTTTATGAACTGTCTTTGATCAAGCTTTACAGTAAAATGTTGAGGCCAATTAGAGAAATGATTCATTTTCCCGAAATGTAATTCTACTTGCCTCCACCTATATACTATTTACTCAGCAATTGAGAGAAGCTACTCAAATATTCTATCAGAAAGACCTAAATTCAAAAACCACCACGCTAGCGAGTATACAGAAGGATCTAAACAATGTCTGCATTATAACCTGGTATTAGAGACTGATTACTAAGTCGCTGAAAGTTATCTAATTGCATCCTAAATTGCAATTTCTAATTATTCATAACATGTTCATCGCTCATCGACTTACACTACCACATAAGAATTAATGCAACTCCATATATCAAGAAAGCAATTAACTACTTTGAATTATAATATGCTTGAGGACCTCCATACAGTCTCAAGATGCAATCAAATAAATTCTTTCCTCCGGGAGTTTTAACAAAGTATTAAGCTAGTTATTTATCAGAAACTTCTACTTAACATGGTTAGTACGCCAAAGAAACCAACAAAATATTTTTCCTTATATAACGATCATTCTACTGAAGAACACCATGAAAGGTAACTCTTTTTTTGGGGGTGTAAAATTCATATGAAATATAATGCTCAAAATGATATGCTGAAATTCAATAATTGGTTGCTGATCACAACATCAGTTTGATTGATCTGAAGGCCTGAAAGGAGCCATGTTATATAGACAAGAAGTTAAGACCAGCTTTCCTTTACCACCCAAGGTACATAGCAGTATATGTGCTTCAGCCTTCACACACACACACACACACACCCCTCCCCCCCCGCCCCAAAAAAAAAAAAAAAAAAAAAAAAAAAAACCCCCCCCTTCGTTGCCACCGCTCATAGAGATCCAATTAGTATCATTACTGGCATCACACACAAAGATCCAATTGCTTCCCGTGAGTATGAGAAGGGATAAAGGAGCAACTATAGCAATCAGTTCTCTCTGTAAACTTCACGTCGATTGCGCTATTGGTCCAACGACAGAGAAAAGGGAGATGACGAACGGAAAGGAGAGTAAAGAGAAGAGAAAGAGAGATATATATATATACACGAAAAGAGTATTGCAACCCATGGAAAAATCATTTTTATTTAAAAAAAAATATATATATATATATATCACTCTTTGCATGAAAAGAAAAATCTAGAGTATTATAAAATCACACAAACAGCTCCCTCTTGCAATATAACATAATAATATAGTTATCAATTTCCTGTTTTCCCTTTATTACAATCATACAAATCATGACTTTGGACTAAACTAGAAATGATATCTTCATCTTGCATTTTTGTCCCCCCACATCTCCAAACAAGTCCAGCAAGACCTACTCTGAGCAAAAAAGGGATTGGTATTCAATACAGAATACAGTTGGTAACTGAAATATGCATTTAATATAGAAGTATTTTCACTCCAAAAGCTGAAAAGGACATATTAAAATCAAACATTCACACTGTTAGCCCAAGCATTTACAGCTTGTCTAATTATGACCCCTTTACTTTAGATTTTCATGTTGAAATAAAAGAGACAACTTTTCTCTATTTCAAGAGAAAATTTGAAAAAGAGAAGTAGACCTTGGTAATGAATGCTTCATTCAGGGCATATGCGTTTACCAAATATCAAAGTACAACAATAACCATGACCATGAAAGAACTAATAAACTTGGGAAATATCTGCTACATTGGAAAACAAAAATTAATCTAAACAAACTAAAATTGTTACCATGAGAGGATTCAACGTCCAGAATTAAATCAAGTGCATAATCATAATATGGGACTTGACTGCTCAACCCGCAGAGGTTAAAATCATCTTGAATATATTCATCATCAACTTCACAAAAGAACTCATTTCCCCGCAAATTGCAGAACCAAGAAATCCATGATGTATCATCTCCATCAGAACCACTAACATCAGACTCTTCACTGTCCGTTTCAGATTCTTCTGCAAAATAAGCAAACGTCGGCATCACGGTCTCAGGCACCAGTTTGATCCAAACAAATATATACATATATGCCATATCCATGCTCACAGAGAAACACATATGAGTGTGTGTGGAAACAATATCCATACAGAAACATAGATAATTTCACATACATAACTTCATAAATTTCTACATAAATATTTACATACAGCCTGATTGCTGTTTCATGTGTCAGGATTTTATCCAAATTTGTTCTTAAAAAATTGAAAATCTCGAAGAACAAAACTAGCTGCAACTTTTAGCTCTAGGAACTTGAGAAGCATCAGCATAAGAAGAAGCAATGTTTAAAAAGGCAAAACTAGGAACTAAGGCTTTTTTCATACGTGAAGCCAAAAGTTTAGTCAAAAAATAATAAAATAATATAAAAATGAACATGAAATAAAACATAAACAATCAATCTTAAAGAATACCCCATAGAATTAATACCAAAATAATTTTAAAAAGTAGCAAATATTAAACTGTTTTTACTCTTGAGCAAGAAGAACTTCAAAATAATAATAATAAAAATAAAAATAAAAATATAATAATAATAATAATAATAATAATAATAATAATAATAATAATAATAATAATAATAAATGAGATTAGGCCCATTACCCAAAATCCAAAACCCTGTAAATGTAATCAGATTTCGTTGGTTCACGAAAATTGATTTTAATTTCCACCCAATTTCCTCCGTCTCTAATTCTCTCTGCGCCACTGCCGTGGACTTGCTCAGTTGCTTGTGACCTGCTGTCTGCCATGCTGCCATCTTCGGCCGCTGGAGTTTTAGTCTGTATGTATGTAATTTGTGTGCAAATATTAATTTGGAATTTTGGTTCCTGCTTCTAGGTTTTTGGGTTTAGTATAATCCTTCATTCCTTCAGTTAATTTTGAGCAACCTGCTGGTATTCTAGTTGGTTGGTGTTTGATTATTATGTGACTGATGATCTTGATTATTTACATATAAATTGGTGATTTGGAATTTGGTTCCTGATTTTGATGATTTAAAATTTGCGCAAAGATTTGACATCTTCAAGGTTTACCTATAAATTTATTAGTTAATTCTGATGCTTTAATTTGATTGGTGATTTAGTATGTAAATTGTGATGAATTGGGGATTTTATGATTTGTGATAATTGTTCAATTTTAGTGGGAAATTGAAAATTGATAATAGTTTAAAATTAAGTTTAATGCATGTTTAATTTTCATATAGATTATGGAACGATTTTTTCCACCGAAACGAAAGTTCGAACCTAGTATTTCCAGTGATGCATCTAGCCCCACCTCGACTCTAGTCGAGCACACGAGTTTGCCATTGATAACACAAAAAAGTCTCGAACTCAATTCAATGTAGTTGATCTTGTGTGATTTAGGGAAAGGTCCTCCTATTGAGTCATATGATCCTAATATCAGATATGTTAGGATGGCATACTACGGTCTTTGTTAACCACATGGACATAACTTTTTAAGAAGACTTATGAGAAATGATAATATGTGTTTTACGAAAGAATGGTTATTATTTAATTAAATATTAATAAATGATCTCATTATTGCGGCTGTTGATGTTCAACGATCAACTGCCTGCCCCCTAAATCACCAAAAATTCTAGATCAATCCATGAAAGACGGGTGTAGTATGTGAGTGGGGTAAGGGTTTAGATTTTTTTATTGTGAAGATAAATATAACGAGCCTAAATTATTGTTTTTTATTTGATAAGAGGGGACCAATTAAAAGTATTTAGGTATTATGATGAGGACGTCTACTTTTTATTTATTTTTAGTTGGACTTTATTTATGTTTTAGATTTTATTTAATTGGGCTTGTATTGGCTCAAGTCCATTCTACTTGGGGTTTTAATTTTTACTATTTAAACCTAATTGCGATATAATTTCATTAGTTTTGATGAATTGAAGAATATTTTGGTAGTTTGTTGTCTATGACTTCTCCTTCCTCTCCCTTCCCCTCTCCCCATGAATTTCTGCTTCTTCTCCGGTTCTCCCCTCTTTCTTGCTTCTTCTTTCTATTTTTTTAATTCGCCTTGTATCAAATTTGGTATCAAAACCGAATCTTCAGTAATTTCTTTTCTTTAATCCAAAATTTATTCATATGTCCTTTCCAAAATCTGTTGGAACAACAAGAACTAAAAGAATTTTTGGAAAATGCAGCAGTTTTTTTCTTCTTCTTCAATTTTCAGTCTTAGTTGGAAAAAAAAAATTACTGTTCATCACGGGTACTGTTCACCCAGAATTTCAGTTTAGTATTTTGGTCAGTTTCTTTAACAAAAAAAAAAGTTATTGTTCACGCCAAAAAAAATAAATAAAATTTATCGTTTTTTTTTTGCTGCTACTGCTACTGCTGCTCATAAATAAATAAAAAATTGCAGTGTTGTTCCACAAATCCCAAACACAAGCATTCAAGCCCACTTACCCCTTCAGCCCATATATTCCATCTCTATAATCTAGTCCATTCATTTTTTTTATCAAAATACTTGGGCCATAAGCTAGTGGCCCAAATTATTCCCAAAGCCCACTAACAACACAACCCATCTCTCATCATCTATTTAGTCAATCCACTCGCTTTTCAACCCAATAAATGCCAAATCCAACCCACTTATCACATATTATCACAACTGGTCCAACACCATCCAACCCATAACCGGTCCCAAATTCGATCGACCCATAACCCTAGCCCATTATATACAACACTTAACCCAGCCCACATCTACAATACCCAAGCCCTAAACTCCTCCTTCCCCGTCGGTATCCCACAGTCACCACACTTTCCACGACCGCCCTCATTGCCAATCGCCAGCAATCCACTGCCACGCCAATTGTCACCCACCACTCGGAATTCAGTTTTCGCTTTATTTTTCACGTCGGTGGACCTCTTCTGAGTTCAGAGTGCCAAGGACATTTGTTGAATTGGATTTGGCCTATTATTTGCATTGGTGCAGCTTGTTAAAACTCTTGAGGATTAGTGTTCCATTCAGTGACTTGACTGCTTAGGAGTATTCCATTATAATTTTCTACTGGAGACGTGCCAACTGGGAAATCATAATTGGGCACAGTTCTGATTCTTTGGGTCCTGAAGTACATCGCCATCAGGTTTAAGCTTCTGTGGGCACCACCGCTGCAACTAAACAACAGGGAGTACTTGATTTATATTTTTCATTGGTTTACAATACTACTTCATTTAAAATTGCATTAATTAAATTTTTGTGATATTGTTATTCTAACAATATGCCTAAAGTCACGTAACTGAATCCGTTGATTTCGTCAAAACCCTATTGTTCCCCACTTATCAACGTGATTGGAGAATTCGACTACTGTGTTGACCCTTGCTTTGTTATTTTACATGTACCAGTAGCATTAGTTTGCTTTGGATCTATTTAATCCCCAAATTTGAGATTTTAAAAAAAAAAATGGTTCAAAATGTTATTTTTCATTGCTTATATTTATTGTTCATTGATCTCATCATTGCACGTCATTTAGCTAGTATTACATTGCATGTAGTTGCATAGTGGTCGTCTTGTCGACTCTATTTCCAATACGTTGACCATGGATCCATCCCCATTTGATGCGTTCACTAGACAATTAGTGCAACTTGCCACTAGCCTATCGATTGTCCAATCAGATATAACTGCTACCCGTGAAGAGAGAAAGAACCTAGCAGCTAAGTTGAGCAATTTTAAGCGGACCCCTCGTTTGACTGACACTAATTCTGAAGCGTCTCATAATAGACAATATCATCGTGGACAAAGTGATCAAAAATATTTTCCACACGATCGTAGGAATAGGGATCAGGTTCATGAGCGAGAACAAGGCCATGGTCATCATGGTACTCATTCTCCTTCTCGTCGTAAGAAGCGTTTCTTTAGAGACATTGACTTAAATACTCATACTTTCGATGGTTGCTGAGATTACGAAATTTTTACCCAATGGAACACTCTTACACAAGAGAATCGGCTAGTAACTGAGTACATTACTCAATTTGAGGAATTTCGAGTGAAATGTCATGTCGTTGAGGATGAGGTCCTGACTTTAAGTAGGTTTATACAAGATCTAAGAGATGAACTTAGGCGTGAGCTTTTCTTTCGAGGCATCACTACTCTTGATCAAGCTTACTCTTCAGCTCGGGACTACAAATTACTTATTAGTACTCCATATGAAAAGCACGACCACCATCGTTCTCCCATGTCATTAGCGCCACCTCAACGTGAGTCTGCCATAGAGCCTTCCCCATCTAGTGTCCCTTCCATTTGGAAAAATAAGTGTAAAGGTCGTGATGGTCCAAGGCCCTCTTCTCCTTATAGAATGCGTATTGACAACTATTCTTCCGCCTCATTAGCTCCACCTCTTCCTGTTAAATCTCTTCTAGGACCTCCCCCGTCTAATTTTCCTCAAATCTTAAAAAATAAGGGTAAAATTTTTAAAACTCCAGGGACTTCATCTCACCTGCTATGCATCAGCTGTAAGGATTTTGGTCATATCTCTTCCAAATGTCCTAACCGAGCCTTAGTCATAGAAGAACGAAATGATCTAATAGAAGAGTCGTTAAAAGATCAAATCTATGAACCTAAATTTGAAGAATGTGATTACTTGAATGATATCGAGGACACTTCCTTAGGTAGTATTAGGACTTTTTCTATGAATCTAGGGGTTGTACCCCTTATTCCCAATATCCCTCAATTAAATGTTGTGTGTCATACTCTTTTCCAACCCAAAGGTACGGATGATTTGTGTAATCATGTCCTTTTCAAGGACATTCTTGAGAATTGGGATTTGATCCTCCCAACAATTCAAATAGCATATAACAATTTTGGTGCATCCGTTTATCGCTACAAGTTCCATCCAATTTATTCATGATTATAAGTCTAGGAAGCCTTTAGACCTTATTCCAATGTCCCCACATACTAGTATGCATGCGTCAGCTGAAGCATTTGTACGTCATCTTCATGACTTGCATATTGAGATCAATAAACAATTTGAAGTGAGTAATGCATTATATAAACTTCAAGCTAATTTGCATAAGAGAAATTTTGAATTTAATATTGAGGATTATGTTATATCACAAGCTTGTAGTGTTGATCCTTTAAAAATATTAAAGCATGTTGGTTCAAATGTACATGTCATTGCCCTTTCATCACATTTTGGCTACCACTTTGCTTTAAATATTGAGGACTTCATTACTTACAAACACCGTGTTACTTCATTTGATAATCTATTTCTACTTATCTTTATGGACCCCCAACTTGACTATGTTGATATTTCTACTTCAATACCATCTATCACAGCACACAAAAATAAAATTGATGTTATTTTAGATGAACATGTTGTATTGACCAATGATGGCAAGATTCAGTACTTCCTTGTTTGTTGGGTAGATCGACGTGCTTCTTATGCTCCTCATTATATACAATCATGTGAAAATCTTGAAGATGAGGTGCATGAGTATTGGTTATTTGGAGTCCAGTATCAGTACTTGGTTAGAAGGAAAGATCGTCCCCCTTGGTCAGATCATATTCTTGGGAATAAGCTACAATTTTCAGTACTATCAATCATGGATTACTTGGTTCGTCAGAAAGATCGTCCCCCGTGACTTGACTTGACGCATTTGGAGTATCAGATTCACTGCAGCCTATACTATCTATCAACTCGACATGGTCGAGTTTTTCTCACCCCGGGAGAGTTGATGAGGACATCTACTTTTTATTTATTTTTAGTTGGACTTTATTTATGTTTTAGATTTTATTTATGTAATTGGGCTTTTGTTGGCCCAAGTCCATTCTACTTAGGATTTTAATTTTACTATTTAAACCTAATTGCGATGTAATTTCATTAGTTTTGATGAATTGAAGAATATTTTAGTGGTTTGTTGCCTATGGCTTCTCCTTCCTCTCCCTTCCCCACTCCCCATGAATTTCTGCTTCTTCTCCGGTTTCTCCCCCCATTCTCTTCGGTTCTCCCCTCTTTCTTGCTTCTTCTTTCTATTTTTTTAATTCGTCCTGCATCACATTATCTTTGAAATAAACATTCACACCGAAAATGATGAATAAAAATTTCAAATTACAAAGAAATACACAAGGCGTACGCCTCATTCAATGAGGCACCCACAAAGAAAGCATCTGATGCTACGCCTTGAGACACAAGTTCTACGCCTCAGCTTGAGGCACGCATACTAATGCATATATCAGAAATTCCCAAGTAAAATTAAACCATTTTCCTAATTGTACTTTCAAGAATTGCCCTTCATGTTTTGACTAATTTGAATAAACATACGAAAACCCCTTCCCCGACGTCACCACAGTAACTGAACAGTGGTAGCTTACTTGCCAGCAAACAAGGGCTTCATTATCACCATGATATTTCCAAAAGTTTATTTAACTCAACGTTTTCTGCAATCTCAATTCTTCAATAAAATTTCACAAAATGCACAGAATGAAGGACCATACAAATTTGCAAAGAGACTACAATACAGCATCCTAATTGAAACCCATTCAAGGAAAATAACGCACTATTCCTTAACTCATATTCCAAAGAACTTCACAGGAAATATCCAATATTTAACAATAAGACTTGCACGAGTGCAATGTAAATGTATTTGGGAGATGTCCGAGATCAAGTCACTACAATACGTTATATGATATTGGTGAAGGAACACTTCGAATTTAATGCTTCCAAAATGTAAATATTTGAAAATTAAGACCCAAAGTATATTCAATCACTAAAAACTCAATATCCATAAATTCCTCTAAAATCACCTAAACTTTCGCATATTGCAACAAAAATTAAAATTTCACGCACCATCTGAGCACATATTCTTGCTGGTATTAAGATTTGACGGCGCCCGTGCATCGCGGTGCTCCACATGCTTCCCGGCACTGGCGGAGGTGGAGGGTATGGAGGAAGAGGAGGGCTTGTTTCTAGATGTAGAAGGGGAAGACTTCTCTAAGTGCTTGTCCAACGCATCGTTGATTCGCTTCCGATCCAACATCTCCCCACCCTTCAATGATCCTCCTCCTCGCCCTCGATCTCTATACATAATTATTAGATTTTATAAATATCACTCACTAACTGCCTGTTTCTACGAGGGATCGAATGGAGACGATAAGCTTGGATTTGTACAGTGTGAGAGATGGAGAGTAGTGAGGGAGACGGAGAAAACTAGGGCTCTTTCGAGTGATTCGACTACATAGAGCGAAATGGCTCAACCGCTTCGCTAACAACCTAAGCTCGGAGCCTTTGAGTTTTAGTGACCAAAACTCGATATTTTTCAAAGTTCAGTGGTCAAAATTTGACATTTTAAATTTCAGTGATCAATCAAAGACATGTGCCTAAATTCAGTAATCATTGGAACAAGTAACTCCACTAATCGCGACTTGAGACAAATTCGTTTAAGGGAAATTTGCTCACTTGGGTCCTCAATCAAAATTTCTGTATTAAAATCCCCAACTTGAATTTTTGGAAGGTGTATTGCATTTTTTCTTTCATTTCTTTAGGTTCGTTAGTTGGAACATTAAATGGAGATTTTAGGTTGATATTAAAAAGATTAGATGATGATTAAAATTGGGACGGTGGAGTGTTATGCCTCTACTCGAGTAAGCTTTCGATTATGTCACTAAACAACACAATTTCTTAATATGAAAATCAGTCAAAACTTAAAAAATTTGTGTATCCAAAGTTGTTCTAAATACAAAATATATTGTTTAACATTGAAGATCAGTTTTTATAGCTACTTTCATCCATAAGAATAGTTTTCTTGAGTAACATGGACATATATATTTCACAAGTCCTTCAAAATGTTTGATTGCAGGTCACCATGGTGATTGATAAAAAAAAATACAAAAATGCTAGCCCTGTATGTGCGTATAGCATCTTCCCTACATCAATGATGATTATATCTTATAAATTTTATATGTTCAAATATTACTCAATATGTACTTTTTTTTATTGTATCGTATTTCTTACTCGTCAGGCTCAACAAGGCATGTTGAGACCTATAAATAGGATAGCAACGTAAAAAATATAATCATTGACCATGAATGTACTCAAGTTCGGGGAGTTTGGAGAGAGATAAAAATGATTGGTACAAAACCAAAAAGAAAACTAAAAAATATTTGAGATTATCGTAAAATTTCAAACCTTAAATTTGTTATGTTTTGATTTGAGGGTACTTAAACACGAGCAACTCTTGATACTTCATAGACAAATATATAATGTGTTGCAAGTAATTTCAAATAAGCAAAAATATTGAGAGGAAAAAAAAAAACAATGATTCTACGTTTAGGAAGAAAAGTTTCAAGTGAATGAAAGGGAAAAATAAATATTTAACTAATGAACTTGAAGAAATGAAATATGTTGGGGTAGATACGAGAAAAGATCGAAGCGAAAGACGACCTTTTTCAAAGGTTCTTAGTGGTTATAGTGAAAAAAAAAAATCCAATTTATGTAACTAATTAAGCTATGTTTGATTATATGACTATGCAAGAGCATTGTTTGATCAACTATTAAATTTAGGCTTATGTAAAACACATTTTGCTCATTTGAATATGCACTACTTTGGCCAAGTTACGTGTATTCAATGCAAAAAGATTAATGTGGCAATAAAACCGTTTGACCCACCCTATATTTAGGAGCTACCTTATTTCTTCAATGCTCCTTTCGTCTATCTCTAAGTGCTCGTTTGGATTTGATTATAATCACATTATACTTTAAATGTTAAAACCAACTTTTAATTTTAATTATATATTTCGTAGGATTCACAACCATTACTCGTTAGAAACTTATAAACAAATCCAAATAAGCAATAAGTATGTAAATATTACAAATTGAGCAAATATATAATTTCTTTGATTTTTGTTTAGAGTGTCGAAAAACGATATTCTGTACAATCAAGTGTCAAAGTCAAGGGTGAATTAGACTAAAGATCTTTTAAACTAGGCTAATCTGTAAAATTAAAATAAAAAAAATCACATAAAATTTATTTTTCACATAAAATAAATTTGGCAAGCCTCCTTCTAGATCTAGGGCGTTTATAGAATTAAAGTTTGCAGGTAGCCCATGCTATCAAACAACTAGAAATGTGAAAATTTTGGTATCTTAATTTGAAAATAGTTCCCTTTGAGACATTTATACATTAAATTATTATTCTGTCTTACAAGTACTACACACTTATTCGTCACCTATTTTTATAAATAAAAATATTAATCAACACTTTCCAAACAAATTTTGTAACGCCCCAATTTTTCTATAAACACCGAAACGTTACCAAAAACTCACTTTTCCTTAAGTTAAATGCGGAAATATAAAAATAGATTTCTTTAGTAAACAATAACTGCAATATTTATAAATCTAAATTTGAAAACATAAAAATCGTATCTAAACATAAATATAAACCCTTAGCAAATTCAAATAACACATTCTGAATAAATTAAACTAACTGATAAATTTATAAAAAAAAGGGGCAAACTTATTTCTTTTTCTCTATTCTTTATCCACTTGGCAGCCCGCATTACCAATTCGCCACTGTTCCAATCGACCCGAACGGACCTGTAAAATTAATGTAAGAGTGAATATTTAAAATACCCAGTAAGATACTTGCAATTTTCATACACTATTACATAACAAATAAATTATACACTTCATACCGCTCTTCTCTTATGGAGTATATCGGTGACCAAGCGACACACCCATTTTAAGTCCTCTTAAATTTCCGTAAAAATATCATATCTCTCTCTAGAACCCGAAGGTCCACAAGTAATCAATGCATATTAATTGTATATAAGAGCATAAGGAAACTTAAAACACTTTGCACATAAATGTATCTTACCTTGTTATTGAAATGTACACGAAAAATATTTGAATGCACGTTCCAAAATTCCTTCCTCTACTTTGTGAATGATTTATTAATCGACAATAATAGTTGATGTATGACAAATTTCTATTTTCACACACTCTGTCTTTCCTCTTTTTCTCTCTCTCTTTCTTTCTTTTCTCTCTTTCACGTGTGAATATTTTTTTGGTATGGTAAAATATGAGATCTTTGCCTAGTATTTATAGGTGTAGGCTAGAGTATTAGATAAATCAAAACTTTGTTTTGATAGAGTCAAATCCAATGTGGCACGTTTCATAAAAAGATTGTACTTTATCATTATTTTATTCCATCTAAAAGAACTACTATTCCTATCCAATAAATATGTGGCAGCCAATCAATCAAATTCAAATGGGTTAATATTAAATTTTAAAAAATGAGTAAAATTAAAAGACCCACCTCACACGTTTCTAGAGAGAGAAAATAAATTGGATTAAAACTAAATAAATTTCTATTTATTTTGTTTTCTTTCATTTGGCATAACTTACTGCGTTCTTATCAGAAATAACGTTTTCTCAATTCAAAGACTTCTAATTAAATACGACCTTCGAAATGAGTCTAATATTGATATACATATTATTACTTTATCAAAATCCAATTATTTGACCTCAAATATATAATATATTATATTTATTTCACCTTAATCCCTCACTTTCCAAATAATATAATAATTTTATTTTATTTTTTTTCAATTTCGGAATGTTACAAATTCAATGTCAATACTACAAGCACTTGGGGCCTAGTATGAAGTAACACAATCTTCTTATGAAACTTAAGATCATTTGCATGTTTAATCGATGCAGAATTTTCGTTTACACTTTCTCAAATTTCTCTAGTAATAAACGAAGCACCAAATCATCTTGGAGCTCGACTTTAATAACATTTGCAGTTATTTGAAGTTCATCCCAAAAAGTTAACTAGTAGGTGAAATAGCTCAATTCCCTCACACCACCTCCTAGAGTGCACCATATTGGTGTAACTTTCACACAATTTTGTGAAATCATCTCCAACCGTATACCAAATGAATAGTATTTCCTTTATTTTTCTTATTTTTTAATTTCTCAACCATTAATTTAATTAGAAATTATTTAATTAGAATTTATGGTATTACTAAAATTATTAAATTAAAAATTATATTTAACGAACTAATATATTTCATTTGATGATAAATTAAAAAAAAATTGCACTTATATATATAAATGAGTAATTTTATTTTAATATGTTCAATAGTTATTATTCATTACTTGATTATAATTTCAAATAGATGTTAACTAGTAATTATAAAATTAAAATAAATTATAATATGAATAAAAAATTATTGATATAAGATGATTGGCAAAATGGGAATAATGAAAATTCAAAAATTAGACTAAGTGAATAGTGTTACAGTAGGTTTAGTGTAATTTTACAACATTTTGCCGACATGATAAATTCATAATTTCATGGAAGGTCATACACCATCTCATCTAAATTATCGACTAAATTTTGATAGATTTTAAGATATTATAAATTTTAATGAATTTTGTGAATTTGAATATATTTCCACAAATTACATAAAAATCTCATTAAAAATAGTGAAATTTCAAAAGATTTTGTTGTGTGTATTTTTAAGTTTGAAATCCACCCAAATATTTTAAAATCCAACTATTAATGAAATCTTTATAAATCCATTAGTTATTGAAAACATTCAAAGGATTTCATTGAAACTAATTAAAATTTCAGTTGGGGACATCTAAATTTTAATGGTTCTCACTAAAATCAATTAAAATTTCAAATGGGACGCCTAAATTTAACAGAAATTTTAAAATTCATCGAGATTTGAGAACTCTCCTTAGTCTCCAATTTAATTCTGAAGGCACTTTGAGTAAAATCACTCAAATGACGCACAAAGCTTGACGACCATTATTCTAGAAAAAAAAGTTTTAAATAATGATTTCTAAAAGAATGTGTGTTTAAAAAGTAAGAAATTTATTTTGATATACTTATAAAATATTTTACCGTGTAAATGTATGACTAAAAATGATCCCAGCAAATATGAAACAAAACAACGTTTGTCAAGGTGGAAGGATCCCTTGACCCGCAACAGGTGGAGGAGGAATTATAGCATTAAGAAGGTTGGAAGATGAAAGTCAAGCATAGATCGCACAATTATAATTCAAGTCTAGGATGGTAACGTATCTAGTCTTATTCCGTCTGGCTTCTCTTGACATTTCTCTAAGAGAAGTCGACAATGAATTCCACAAATAAAACATTAAATTTGTGCGACTCTTTTACATAATAAATGTGAGAGGTGGCAAAATAAGAGCCATAGGATTATTCCATATTTCTTTTCCATTCTAATTGCAATAAATTAAAATTCTTATATTGGCAAATTAAACAATTTCTGGAAAAGTTCATAACCTTATATATTTATCTTTGATATTTTTCTCAGAACATTTGAAATGCAAAATCACAATAATTAAAATTTCTTGTCTAAAATAATAATATGAATTTTTTTTTGAAAAAAAACTTAAATTTATCGTTTTGAGGGAAAAAAACGACCAGCCTATAAATATTTGAAAGTGAAATATTGGGAGCATAATATTTCAGGTGCATTGCATGAATCTCCGACTCTTCTTCCCACACCCCCACCCCTACGCCGACGGCACCCCCTATCCCATCCCATCCCATCACATAGATCGGATTATTGTGTTCATCAGGACAGAGATTACTCCAAGAATTCCATAACACTCACCATGGATTACTCCAAGAATTCCATAACAAATCTTGCAATTATCTCTCTATTACTAGCAACTGTTATTCTTCTCTGTTCTTGGAATCCCTTGACGGACCAAAGTTTTTTTCCCTTCAAGAAACACTCACTTTCAGAACCAAATTCTGTAAGAAAATTTATGTGTTTATCTCAATTTTCTTCAGAAAAATCCTCTTGATTTACTAATAATTGAAAATAATTGTGCTTTCTCTTGCAGACGCTAGTGAAAGATGAACTGGAAATAGCTTTAAAGAAGGCTTCAATGGGCGACAAGACTGTGATTATATCCCTTGTTAATAAAGCCTACGTAGAGCCACATGCGGATGAATATCCAACAATGTTTGATCTTTTTCTTGAGGGTTTTTGGGTTGGAGAAGAAACTAGGCCATTGGTGGATCATTTGTTACTTGTCGCCATGGATCAGACATCGTATGATCGCTGCAAATTCCGGCGGTTGAACTGTTATAAGCTGGTCGGTGGTGGCGGAAATTTCACCGGAGAAAAGCTTTACATGTCCGATGAGTTCATCAAGATGATGTGGAGAAGAACTCTTTTTCTTCTGGAAGTCCTTAAGCGTGGATATAATTTCATCTTCACGGTACATTTTCTATCTTATTACTATATTTATTTATTAATTTTTAAAGTTCTGTGCTTTGACCCATTCGAACACATTATACATTAATATCGAAAAAGAATTTAATCAAGAATTTTTTTTTTATCAGAATATGTTCTTTTTCCTAAATTTACTCAGTCTGTGCTCTATTATATGGGTATACTATTGGGGCTAGCTAATGGTTGAACATCTCACAGGAATTGAAGTACATTTTTGTCTATAGCCAAGAAGCAATTATAGCCACTACATTCAAGGTCCCCATCGATTAGAGTTCTAGATTTCTATTAGGTTTGAGGGGTAGTAGCGACCTTTTACCTTCATATGACTATTATACTTTTCCCTATATTTAAAAAGGTTGAACCCAATCTTGTGGGCACCGCTCCGTCCCTCCCCTAGAGTTTTGTAAGGAAAGTAAATTGCGGGAAGTGTTCCAACAAGTCAGGGAACAAGAATTGTTTGTACATTGTGCCTACAAGGAATCAAATTTTATGTCTCAGGAATCGAACCCCCACACTGCAACTGTCAACAAGACGTGAGATAACCTCACTCCTATCCTTTGCACCACTTAGATATGCCTCAGGGGGGCTTTATTCTCTTAAATAGTTATATTCCAAGCAATGCGTTCGAATATGTTTGTTCACATTTTTGAAGCCCCGTTTCGCTCTCATTTTGAAAAAATGAAAATTGGTGGAATAGTATTCTTTTGAAAAATTAGTGATTGAAAAAGGATAAAAAAATTGATTTGTGTGAAATATTATTTTTTTATGATAAAAAATATGAGAGAGAAAATGAATTGTAATGAGATAAAAATTATTGGAGATCAAAGAGAGGTGAAATGTGAACCACAATTGAATTTTCAAGGATTTGGTAGGACTTTTGGTAGTACAAGACTGCAATAGTCAGTTCTGTCCAACTAAAATGCCCGGTCCGGTCCCCTTCCTTGAAATGACAGTTTAATTCTTGTGATATGAAAATTATTGCTTTGAACAGCTTGAAAGCTGAATAGTACGTATAAAGTAATCTTGAATTTTCTGCAAATCTTTTAGAAAAGTCTTTTTGAAATATCTAATTTTGACTTTTTTCTTTATGCAATGTTTAGACTATATTTAAGGGATTTTTTAAATATAAAATACTCTCTATTTTAAAGGTCCTTTAAACTAATATTTTAGTGTTTAGAGTCAGATTCATTTTCTATAATTAAATACATTTAAAGTGTTTCAATTTTCAATGTAAAAAAATAATGAAATAATTTAGAGAAAATTTATTTAAAATAAAATATAGAAAAAAATAATAAATATTTTCTGAGACTACTAAAATTAAGTATTGACTACAGAGAGCTTGTTGGGGTGCTTTAAAATTTTAATACTCTAAATTTATAGATACTTTTTAAATGATGGAATATGTTCTTTAAAAATAGGGAGTCTTTTCAAAATGCTTATCGTTAGTAGGAGAATTAATACGATGACAAATTATAGTGATTAATAGAAAACATTGTGAAAAATACAGTGACCAATGAGATTTTAACAAAATAGCTTATTCTCTTATATTCTATCCAATGTGTTCGAAATCTTTTGGTCAGATTTATGAAATCTAAGCCACAATTGAATTTTCAAGAATCATGAATTTCGTCATGCTATTCAAATAGGGAAATTTGACATGAATTGGTGACAGATAGTACTTGGCACTTGTTCATTGGAAGATGAGAAAAAAAAAAAGGCAAATCACAGTTCGCCACATTATCTCTGTCACCAATTCATGTCAAGTTGCACGGTTGAGTAGCTTGATTCTTATGAGTTTGAGTAGCGTAATTCTTGTGAATTTGAGTAACAATATTTGTTCAAGCTCAAAAACATGGAGAAAAACAAATGGACTTGGCAGCAGATGATTTGGTGTTTGTTGTTTTTATTTTTCAAACAATTCAATCATATGTGGACATGTGTGCACCTTGTTTTTGAACCTTTTTTTTAGCATGCTTGTCTAGCATAACTCTATGAATTGTATGCTATGATCGGACTTTTAGTCATTCCTGGCCAACCAATTCCCCCGCGATTTTGGACATTTGAGAACATGAGTACATGACCAATACCCCTGGCCCCGTTCCATGAGATGACAGTGTAATTCTCGTGACACAACAAATATGAGAGAGGCTATACATCCAGGGTCCATGAAAGGGCGCCACCTATAGGTGGGGGGTGCCTAGGGCCCATGTAGCCATAGACAAGAAGATTTTTTCAAAAATTATTGCTTTCAACAACTTGCAAGTGCAATAGTATGCATAAAGAAATTGGATTTCTCTGCTTGTACAGGAGCAAAGTTATCAAAATTTCACGAGATGTTGCTGTCTGATTGGCTTGCTTTTTTTTTTTCTTGCCATTATCGAATCAAAAAGTGCCAAGTGTATTCTAGCAAAATATGATAGCATTTTTCTTTACACACATATCTACCTCTGAATTTTTTGTCCATGCAATGCTTAGCTAATAGGAGATTAAGGGTAATTATAGAGTTAAAGGGTTTATTTCATGTTAGGTTTAATTATTAAAATAGAAACGAGGGATCAATGATGATGTAATGCATAAGGTTAGAGCAAGTTGAGTAAGAGAATGTGCATTACTTAAAGAAATTGACATACAAGTAATAAATGAAAAAAAAATTAAAAAAAATCATGGTTATGACTCTGTCAAGTTAACTTGGTAGGACTTCTATTATGAAAGAGGCCTGCTACAATAACAAGAGGAGGGGACGGGGTTTGGTGGCAGGGCCGAGGTCGGGGCAGGGCCGAGGTCGAGAATGTGCATTACTTAAAGAAATTGACATACAAGTAATAAATGAAAAAAAAATTAAAAAAAATCATGGTTATGACTCTGTCAAGTTAACTTGGTAGGACTTCTATTATGAAAGAGGCCTGCTACAATAACAAGAGGAGGGGACGGGGTTTGGTGGCAGGGCCGAGGTCGGGGCAGGGCCGAGGTCGCTCCACCTCGGCCCTGTCCCCTCCTCCAATCCCTTTAGCATAAATCATTATGAAAAAGTCGTGCTCTTCCCTCTATTCTATTGACTCGAGTTGACATGAATTTCTTACGTATATGTTTTATCATTTTCTTTTATTCTTCAACTATCCTCTCTTTCTAAAATCAAACACGAAAATCCATCCCTTCTCTGTATTTCCTGGTCCTTGATTACTTCATAAACATTTCTCTTGCAGGACACGGATATATTATGGCTTAGGAATCCAATTTCAAGACTAAGAAAGAACGAAAACAGAGATTTTCAAATAAGCACGGATTTGTTCAATGGCAATGCATCCTCAGAAGAGAACCTAATCAACACAGGTTTCTACTTCATCAGATCAAAGGACAAGACGATATCGTTATTTGAAAAATGGTACGGCATGAGGGATAACTCGACAGGCCTAAAAGAGCAAGATGTTTTAGCAAACATGGTAAGAGGAGGAGTGCTAAATGAATTAGGTCTTAAAACAACGTTTCTCAATACCCTCTATTTCAGTGGGTTCTGCAAAGATAGCAGCGATATTACGGCAGTGGCCACCGTCCACGCCAACTGCTGCAGGAGTATTGCCGCCAAGGTGGTGGATCTGAAGGCGGTTTTGAGAGATTGGAAGGGGTTCAAGAGCAATGCAACTGCTAGTAATTCTAGCACAAACAACTTTCAATGGTCAAGCCATGTTGCTTGTACGAATTCATGGAACAAGTGAGAAATAGGAAAATTATAGCATTTTTTCTCTATATATTGATATACGTCCTTTAGTAGCCATTTGTAATTTTTTAAGAGATAAGTGAAGGTTTAAAAGGAAGCATCCAAGGCGGCAGACATAATGGCCAAAGGCCCTGATCCATATGTAACTTAAGCAACAGGTTTTCCTCCATTCTTACGGCTATACGTTTAAAGCCATTAATACAGCCTATTCTTGCAAGAATATATGTATTATATTTGAACCAGATGAAAATAGTTGGAAATGAACGTTTGAACATTCGACCTTCTTAGGTTCTTTACAAACCAAAAACGAAAAGGACCAAGTATGTACAGTGAGAACGATTTGAGGGTTCTAAAACGCGACTTATCCAATAGTTAAGGAACCGAAAGTGCTAATTGGCTCTTGGGGTCTTGTGTCGATATTGTCAAAACCAAAAAAATCAGTTGAGCAAATTTAGAGATAAATATGCGGCAAGTCATTAACAAACTTTTCCTCACATTCTGATGACTGTGCTATTGCTCAACCAGCGTGTAAAAATGTGATTTATGCAAAACTTTGTGCAGGAATTTGTTTGGACGAGGTTTGGTTGACATGGGATTAAGTTCTCTAGAAATATTTTTATACTAAGAACGCATTTTTTAATAGTGTATTAATAGAAAATGTGTGGTTTGAAAATAAGGAAAAATTTTAGATTTACGTGTAATATTATTTTATTGAAAAATGTGTAATTGAAATGATGTCTAATTATTGTTTAAAAATGTATTTTTTTTCAAAGAATGCAATTCAAACAGAGCCTAACGGAAAACTATGCATGATGCACGGGAGCGATGCATGTGCTGGCCACCCTAACGAAACTGTGAAAGCCCCAAAAAATTCTAAAGAATAGAATTTATTTTTCTAGATGTTATATTTTTATATTTTTGAAGGTTGAAGGACTAAAGCCAAATATGTTTTAAATTCTAATAGTTTTGGGTCAAATAATTAAATATTGAGAGAATGAGTTTTAGCAAATCAATATTAAGCTCGATGGATAGCTTGAATTAAATGACGCACCATGGACTCGAGAAATAGTTACTTCAGATAAATTAAACCCAAGTTAAATGATGGATAGCTCATATTAAATGACGCACCATGGACTCGAGAAATAGTTACTTCGGATAAATAAAACCCAAGTTACTCAGGTTGAAAGATATTATATTAAATAGTAATTATTTTAAAGATTTATGAATGATGGCCAGCGTTTAAATTTTTAATTTTGTTTTGTTAAGATAAAGGGAAAATTGCAGTCAAGGTACCAAATCTTTCGTTTATTAGCAGACTTTGCCCAAACCTTTAGTTTGTGCCACTCACGGTACCAAAATTTTCAAAAATATGCACCGGGGGTTCAAATGGATGGAAACCGTCCGTTTGACCGTTAGTTGACCAAGAAAAATAAATTTTGACCTATTTTGACTGAATTAGAAAAGGTAAAATGATATATTTAGAATTAACATTATTTTTCTATATTATTAACAATTAAATTAAACTAAAAAAAAAAAGAAAATAGTCAATCTTCATCTTCTTCCCTGACTGCATCCCCACCTCACCCCGACCATAATCTAGCTGTCGACCCAACCCCGGCTGCCCATCCCCGCCCAAATCTATTGGCCCCCATCAATTCCACAACCTCCACCACCTCGGCAATTCACAATCCATTCGGACCTCCTTCTTACCCAAAATCAAAACCACTCCAGCCAACCGCCACAGCTGCCGCCGGCAACCACCACTACCCACCCAAAACCACCATCACTAGACAGCTCCACCTCACCTACCCAACATCGGGGCGCCATCCACTGACAATATGTATGAGGACAGCACGAACTATCATCCACCATCCACTACCCACCTATCCACTGTTGATCACCACCACCACCACCACCTCAATTCAAATTGTGCTTCAATTTCACCTGAATCCATATCCTTCGTCGGCCACCCCCATCACCATCCACATCATCGCCACAACCTCCAGCCCAATGCCTCCTCACAACTAGGCATCACCACCGCCTCAAAAATAGCAGTTCCCTCAAGCATTTAGAGTAAAATTGAACCTTTTGCTTGCTCAAGCAATCCAACATTCACTCCACCATCACCATCAAACTGCCACCACCGACATCATTTTCCTCAGCACCGCCACTTTCATTCACTAAATTAACCATTTATACCACAACAATAGCAAATCATCAAAGTCAAATCTGACTTCAAAATCAATTTTGGTTGTTTCAGATCTGAAGTAAAGAAAATCGTCACTCTTTCGTTCTTCCATTATTGGTGGCAGTGGTGGTGGCGATGACTTCCGGCTGGATAGCTGTGGTGGTCAATAACCTGGGTGGAGGTGGTGGCAACTTTGTAGTGAGGAGGATTGTATGGGAATGGGAAAGGAAGGGTTGGGTTTGGGTGGTGAATGTTTTTATCTTTAGTGGTGGTGATGGCGCTCGGCGGCCTAGGTTGTGGCAGCGGCAATGACTTTGGGGCAAGGGGTATTTTGTGGGAATGGGAAAGAAAGGGCTAGGTTTGGGTGGTGGGTTGGTTTTAATCTTTTATTTTTTATTTTATTGTTAAATTATTAATATAATATTATATTTATAGCCTTTGAAATTTATTCAACAGTTGGTCAAACCATTGACTTATAGTGAACTAAACAGAAACCATCCATTTGAACTCCAAGCGAGAATTTTTGAAAGGTTTGGTACCATGAGTGGCACAAACTAAAGGTTTGAGCAAAGTCTGCTAATAAACGAAAGGTTTGGTACCGCTGCTGCAATTTTCCCTAAGATAAATTGTAATAATAGTGGATTGTGATAAAATTTCCAAATTCATTTCTACCCAACCATTTTTGCCTGTGGGACATGGCACTTTAAATCCCAAGTACACTATAAATTTTATCCCATCTACTAGTTTATGCTCCGTGCAATGCACGGATTATATTATTTTAAGAGTACCATTAGCTTCTTGAATGCTAAGAATTGATGGAAGATTGTATTACAAAATTTTAATATAACACATTTGTATAAAGTAAATAATGTTCTATAAAGATGCCACGGTTAATTTTAAATTTGAACAAATAAGGAGCGGTAATTTATAAAATAGAATGTGATAATTTTGTCAAGTTTCTCTTTATTTTATTATTTTATTTTTTTTAAATTTTTTTTTGCTTCAGTTGACATAGAAATTAAGTAAAAGCTTTCTACAATTGAAATAAAAATATGAAAGCATGTTGCAATAATTAGACAGAGATGAGATTGGTAGCAATACTGAGATTTAAATTGGTTTTACAAAGGGAACAATGAGAAATGTCGATTAACATGAATCTTAATTTACAGTCGCAAAATTCATTTGTCAGCTAATATCTTAATTAGAAAATATTTGCAGATCAACAGCAACTACATGAGTAAAAGAAACAGAAGTGTATAATGAAATCCAAGTGGGTAATCAGCTATGAATTATTGAATATTATTGAAGCATGAAAGATGTCATAGGATAACAAAGAACTTGCATTTTGAAGAAAAATGAAAATAATGATACATTCTTAGATCTCATGATTACAATATTTGAAGATCCAGCTTAAGAACAACCAGCTTTGCAAAATTAACCAAACTTCAAATTATATTATATGCTGGTAGTACAACATGTCTAAGGAGAACGTGTCAGACAGCAGATTCAATCTAGTCTTTCATCGGTTGACTTGATGCGTATTTTGTGTTTCCCTATTTTACCTTTGAATATTCCATAATATCCGACTTCACTGCTGAAATCACTACTAATGGTCTTCCTATGCGTGTGTGGTGCTGTTGTTTTGCTTAATTTGAATTTTTACGTTAAAAAAAAAAATAGTTGATGTCATACCACTTAATATTTTTTTCTACTACAATAAAAGAGTGAATGCATTCAAGATATATATGTGTTTCTCTATTTTACCCTTGAATATCCCATAATATCTCATTTCACTCCTGAAATCACTACTAATGATCTTTCTACGCATGTGTTGTGTTGCTGTTTTGCCTTATGTCAAAAAAATAGTTAACGTCATGCCACATAATGTTTTTTCAAGAAAATGATGTAAATTATATTAAGAAAATTGTCGCGAAAAAATAATAAACATTAATTAAATAATTGATTTTTTTTTAAAAGAAAAAAGATAAGTTATACGCATTTTTTACCACACACGTTTGATGTACGTTTAACTATTTTTTATATTCATTTAGATCATTTGATGAGTTTATGATATAGTTTTCGAAATGAGTTTCGAGAGAATATAGAAAATTTATGCATTCAACTACCGTACAATCTCCGATAAATTTATAAATTTAGCTTCTTATCGAAATTCTTAATTTTTTAAATGACGTCTCTTTAGACATTAAAAAAATTTAAAAGTTTATTATGAAATTTTCTAAACACGTTAAAAATTATTGTCGTGAAAAAATTATAAATATTAATAAAATAATTGATTTTTTTTTAAAAAAAGAATTAGTTATATGCATTTTTTAGCACACACGTTTAGTGTACATTTAATTATTTTTGATATTTATTTAGATCATTCGACATATTTATGATATAGTTCTCGAAATAAATTTCGGGAGAATATAGAAGATTTTTATAAAAAACTAAATAAATCAACCAGTGAAAAAAAGAAAAAAAAAGAATTGACACAAATAAATAAATATTGCTCCCTCCTGGGTGCTAGGAGCAAATTTGCTCCGTGATGCACGCAGTTGCTCTCTCTTTTTTGTGTCAATTCTATTTTTTTTACTTGGTGATTTATTTAGTTTTTTTGTAAAAATTTATCATAAATCTTTTATATTCTCTCGAAATTCATTTTGAGAACTATATCATAATACATCGAATGATCTAAATGAATATCGAAAATAGTTAAACGTACATCAAACGTATGTGTTAAAAAATACGTATAACTCTTTTTTTCTTAAAAAAAATCAATTATTTTATTATTATTTATTATTTTTTCGCGATAATAATTTTTGACATCATTTAAAAAATTTCCTAATAAACTTTTAAAATTTTTTAATGTTAAAAGAGACATCATTTAAAATATTAAAAATTTCGATAATAAGCTAACTTTATAAATTTATCAACGATTGTTCGGTAGTTGAATGCATAAATCTTCTATATTCTTTCGAAACTCATTTCGAGAATTATATTATAGACTCATCGAATGATCTAAATGAATATCGAAAATAATTAAATGCATCCACCTCCTTTCCAATAGAAGGTGAAGATGCGGGCTTAGAACTTTCATCCCGCTTTCCCTACTTCAATGGAAAGGGGTATCGGCCATCTAATAACCCTTTCTGAAGTCTGAAGAAAGAGTCTTTCCAAGCAAGATGCACTTCTTACCCGCTTTCATCAACATCAAACGTACATGTTAAAAAAATGATGTAAATTATATTGAGAAAATTCTCGCGAAAAAATAATAAACATTAATAAAATAATTGATTTTTTTAAAGAAAAAATACGAGTTATACTCATTTTTTAACATACAAGTTTGATGTACGTTTAACTATTTTCGATATTTTTTTAGATCATTCGATGAGTCTAAAACATAGTTCTCGACATGAGCTTCGAGAAAATATAGAAGATTTATGCATTCGACTACCGTACAATTGTCGATGAATTTATAAATTTAGGTTGTTATTGAAATTCTTAATTTTTTAAATGATATCTCTTTTGACATTAAAAAAATTTAAAATTTATTAGGAAATTTGTAAATAACATCAAAAATTATTGTCGCGAAAAAATAATAAATATCAATAAAATAATTAATTTTTTTTTAAGAAAAAAGACAAGTTATATGTATATTTTAACACACATGTTTGATGTATGTTTGATTATTTTCAATATTCATTTAAATCATTCGATGTATCTATGACATAATTCTCGAAATAAATTTCTAGAGAATATATAAAATTTATGCATTCGACTACTGTACAATTGTCGATGAATTTATAGAGTAAACTTGTTATCTTTTAAATGATGTCTTTTTTGACATTAAAAATTTTTTAAAGTTTATTAGGAAATTTTCTAAATGACGTCAAAAATTATTGTCGCGAAAAAATAATAAACATTAATAAAATAATTATTTTTTAAAGAAAAAGGACGAGTTATACGCATTTTTTAACACACATGTTTGATGTACGTTTAACTATTTTCGATATTCATTTAGATTATTCGATGTGTTTATGATACAGTTCTTGAAATGAGTTTCGAGAAAATATAGAAAAGTTATGGTAGATTTTATAAAAAAACTAAATAAATTACCTAGTGAAAAAAAGGAAAAAATTTGACAATTAATTTTTTTTTTTTATTGTGTCAATTCTTGTTTTTGATTGGGTGATTTATTTAGTTTTTAGAGAGAGAGAAAGCATAAGCTATTTTATAGTTCAGATCAAATATTTAGTGGAACCAGTTGATGAATGGTAATTATCTAGTTCAAGTATGAAATCGAGCGTTACAAGAATGAACAGTGAATTGTCATCATCTCTTTTATGGTAAAGGGGATATGTCTACCCATGAAAGCAAATATCTTACACTACAGGAAAAGACATTCAGGATTAGGGAGAGTAAATAGTCTATATGCAATGGCAGTTTCACGTCTTTTATCGTAAAGAAAATTTGAAGCGTGCAATCTCTTGGTTTTCTTTCAAAAATTTATTTGATCTGACGAGTTAGGACAACGGGGTGTCATTGATTTTTATCCCGTTTAATTTTATTTTATTTTTTGTTGTTAAAGCATTATGTTAATGAAATTAAAGATATGATATGTTATGTATATTATTATCGTTCGATACCAAATATATGATATTTATTGAGTTTTTATAGATTTTTAAAGATATCATGATGACGTTTTGATATTTTTGACACATGTATTTAAAATCTTTTATTCGTTATTGTACTATTATTCATGTCTAACATAGTATTTTCATGTACTCATCATTTTTTCCCACTCCTCACAGATTAGAACGGGTCGTTGGTCAATGAGCGATAAGATGCAGTCATCGTGCTAGAATATTTGGAATTAATAAACTAAATTCGGTATAACGTGACTATAGATTTTAATTTCAACATGTATTTTAGTTATTATTACGTGGATTGTGTTATTTAAGGTTCGGAACATGTTTTTTTTTTTTTTTTTTATGTTTTTCCATATAATTTATTTAATATTGGTCAAACCAAAATTTCGGGCCTATTTGGTACTGATTCTTAGAATCAATTTTTTTGTCTGTTAGAGAGAAAAATGGGTTCCACTTATGAGTAAAAAAGTAAAAAATGACTGTTGATCATTTTAAATAACGATAAAAAAAATTGATTTTTTTGGCCTGAAAAATCAAAACCAAATGGGGGTTTCATGTTGTGATGTTTGATATGTTTTATTTAATTACGAAATGAAAATCCCCCCCCTTTTTTTTTTTTAATTCGAAAAAAAAATCCCCCCCCCCCCCCAACCGCGCCGCTCCCCTCCCCTTTTTTTAATAATTAAAGAATATGGAATCATTTTATGTAATAATGAGTAAACTACCGTTATATAATTTTATATTTATAGCATGCCATGTTTTTCTTAGTGTTTAAATGAAACTTTTAGTACTGATTTAAATTTAAAAAATTTGGATCCTTATAGTATGGTATCAGAGCTCAGGTTTTATTCTCTTGCAGACCCATATAGATTTTAAAATTTAATTGAGATAAGTTGAAAAAAAAATAAAGTGGGGTTATAAATTTCAATTGATTTTATTGTGCCTAATTTTACAAAACAAATTTCTGTTAAATATTTTTATATGAGCAAACAGCCTCATGATGATGAAGTTGTTGATGTGGATATAATTGAAGAATTAATTGATAAGTCTTTTGTTTTTAAATATTCCGATGATGCTCTAGAGATGTGCTATTAACGAAGTGAATTCCTTGCTTGATGGGGCAGTACCTCCACTTCCCTGTTTACGTGAACAATGGAAAGAAAAAAAATTTAAATATTCTAAAATGATGGTTTATTTAAAAAAAATAATAATAATAAAATTGAGAACATGATATTGATATCGAACTTTTATGTTTTAAACGTTATCTGTAATAATTGTTATGTGTCTAGCCTAACTTATATGTTTTTAATAAACGTTACTAGTAATAATTGTTATTCCGGATAAGTTAAACCCACGTTATTAAGGCTAAAAGATATTATCTTAAATAGTAATTAATTAAGTTATTTAAGGATTTATGAATGATGGCATCGTCTAGAAATATTAATCCTATTCTAAATTTTGTTTTTTTTTTTTTGTTAATATAAATTGTAATATTAGTGGATTGTGATAAAGTTCTCAAATTCATTCTTATCCAACCATTTTTGGATGTGGGACATGGTACCTTAAATTCCAAATACACCAGAAATTTAATATACAATTTTCTATCCCATCTATGTGCTTGTTTAGTAGAAATTTTGTTAATTAATTTTTTGATCATTAGAGATAAAGCAAGTCCTACCTGTGAGAGAATAATTCAAAAATGACAATTGAAATAATAAAATAACGTTAAAAAAATTGATTTTAATTAGATTTTAAACTGTACCAAACACGTTCTATCTATCTGCCTCCATGAAGGTAAATATCTTACACAACAGAAAAAGACATCTCAGGACCAAGGAGAGTAAATGGTTTATATGCAGTATGAGTTTCACATCTTTGTCTAAAAAGAATTTTGAAGCGTGGAATATCTTGGTTTTCTTTCAAAATTTATCTGATTTGACGAGTTAGAATAAATGGTTGTCGTTGATTTTTATTCCGTTTAAATTATTCTTGTTTCATGTCGTTAAAATATTATGCAAATAAAAGTTAAAGATATGATATGTTATGTATATTATGATCATTTGTATCAGAGATACGATATTTATTGAGCTCTTGCAAGTTTTTAAAAATATGAAGACGGTATAAAATTTTTGACACATGTTTTAAAATCTTTTATCCGGGATTGTATCATTATTCGTTTCGTACTGACTCTTTTTTCCACTCTTCACATGTTAGAACATGTCGTATCATTATTCGTTTTGTATTGACTCTTTTTTCCACTCTTCACATGTTAGAACATGTCCTTGGTTGGTGGACGATAAAGTAAATCATGGTACTAGAATATTTGGAATTAATTAATTAAGTCCAGTGTAACGTAACTATAGATTTTATTTTCTACGTTTATTTTAGTTATATTATTATGTAGATTGTGTTATTTACAGTTTGGAACATGTTTTATTTGGTTATGTTTTATTTAATATTGGCTGGACCAAAATTTCATGTTATGATGTTTGATATGTTTATTTAGCCCTTGTTTGAGCTCCATTTTGGAAGAGAAAATGAATTTTTGAATAGTGTATTGATAGAAAACGTGTGGTTAAAAAATAAGGAATTTTTTTTTATTTGCATATAATATTATTTTATTAAAAATGTGTGGTTAAAATCATGTCAAATCACTATTGAAAAATACATTTTGGTGAAAAAAATGGGGCTCAAACAAGGGCTTAATTATGAAATGTATAAAATATGGTATAGTAAAACCCTCTTCTTCTTCTTTTTTAATAATTAAAGAATATGGAATTATTCCGTGTAACAATAAGTAAACTATTGTCGTATAATTTTATATTTATTGCATGCCATGTTTTTCTTAAATTTTAAATGAAACTTTTAGTAACGATATAAATCTAAAAAATTTGGGTAGTTACATAAACCATTGTAAATGACATATTTAGAGTTGATGAGGCAGGAGGCTGCAATTGATCAACGAGGGGAGGAAAAAAAAAAAAAAAAAAAAAAAATTCAAACTTCATCATCTTAATTCTTAAAAGTAACTGGACTGAAACTTCTTCATATTTCTTAGAAAAATGAATTGGAATTTAAACTCGAAAAACAGAAGAGCAGAATTTTGCTACATAAGATGCTCCAACATCCCATTCAATTCAAACAACATAGTGCATGGTGAAGCTACATGAAATTTAAAATATGCTACCAGTAATCAACTTCTGAATGCTATGGAAAAAAATTGACAAGCAAAAAAGGGGGAAAAACACAACCAATTTATGTAACGAGGAAACTTTACATACATTAGTAAAGAGACTTGATTCAATGTCGCAGAACACAGTGCTCAACTAAATCCTTCCTTACCCAATTTAGCAGTCAGGCATTGACATTTTCTTTGCCTTCTTAGGTTTCCTATCTGAAACTGCATTAGCAAAGGCCTCGACGATCCTCTGCTGCGACTCCAGTATCATCTCAGTCCTCTTCAACTCCATCTGCATTCGCATCTGCTCCACCTCACGTGCCATATCCATCTTCACTTTTTCCATTCTCACAAACCCCTCTCCCAATGTCTCTATTGCAGCCACTACCTCGTCCATCCCATTATCCCATTTCTTTTTCTTGGCAATATCTCCTATCCCTTTTCCAATCTCATCCCTACCCATAAACCCATCTCTCGAAAATTTACCAGAAACCCCGAAACCATTAGTGCTAGAATTGATTTTAGTGTGAGGGTTATTAGGGTTTTGACCACCCATCTCATTCAATTTACCATAAACCTTCGGTGCACTATAACCTGCACTCGCCTTGCCAGGAATTTTGATCCGAAACCCACTAGTCGTCCCATTACCCATAAGACCTTGATTACTAAAATTACCTTTCTGATGACTGTAATTATTGTTGTGTGCATCGTTAATGCGTGTGATGCTGCTCTTGTGATCCTCTTCTCCTTGCGGCTCGTCATCAGAGTAAGGCGGGGAGGGGTTGGGGCCCTTCTCCATGGAGTGCATGCTCTGGAAGTGTACCCAGGATGAGGAGATCCGACGAGGGCCACCATACGGAGCGGTGCGCTGGATCTCTGAACGGTAACGCTTGCGGAGCTTCTCCATCTTGTGGCGGCATTGGACGGCGGTCTTTGGGATGCTAGAGGAGCACCGGTCCGCGATCTCATCGGCAACCTCCTGCCAGTGGGAGGCACGAAGGTTTCCGCGGCGAAGAGAGTACCATTTGTCCCGGTAAGCGTCGATCAGAGCCACTGTCTCGTCATGTGACCAGCACGGTGGAGGCAGGCGGCGTGAGGCGGAATTGGAGGCGATGGACGGCAGCGCTATGGTGGCGGTTGGGATATGATCGTTGTAGGGAGATGATGACGACGGAGATAGAGTTGAAGCCATGGGTGACTAGGATAAGAGAACCGGCGAACGGTAGAACAGAGGATTATAAGGCGGCGATTGTGAAAAAAAGTGGTGGTCGTGAGGGTTTGTTGGAGGTGGCGTGACATAATGAAAAATTGAAGGGGGTGGGGTAGGGTTGTTAAAAGGGGCGGCAGGCGGGGGATGAGTTGGAGATCTAGAAAGATGAGAGGCCACCGCTAAGGGAGGAATGAGGTGGGGGAGGCTAACGTGCACCGGGGGTGCGCACCCACAGAACAATGGGCTGTTTTTTGTTTGTTTGGAAAAGATTAAAGTTTTACGGCCACCGCCCAACCGTACAAGGTGGCTTCATTGCTGCCAATTCACAGTGGGCTTAGGCCTTGTACCGGTGGGCCAATTGAAAATGCAACTCAGCAACTGTCCACAGTAAATCTGTCCGTCCGGGCTTGCGCAAGTAATTGACAGTTTGTTTGGGAGCGATTTTTTCCCCCAAAAAATTGATTTTTTGATCGTTATTTCATTATTTCAGTCGCCATATTTGACTTCTTCTCTCACAGGTAGACCCCACTTTTTTTTTAACGGTCAAAAAATTAATTCTCAAAATCACTCCCAAACAGGCTCTGAACCAACCTGAGAAATTTACTTTAGGAAAAATACATAGGGTGTGCTATATGTAAATCACCACTTACAAATTGGTGTATATACATATGATGTGTTGAAATATTTTATGTACAAGTAGTTTTATTGTATCAAGATACAAATTCAAATATAAAAAACATGTTAAGTTTCAAAAATTCGATTATAGGAAAGATCTTTTGTTAAGCAACGATGACGTGCTATACTAATTTATTGGTAAATAAATTTATAATAGGCCTCAACGTTTGAATTAAATTTAAAATCCATCAATAGATTTATATGACAAGTTACTGGTGCTTAACATAATATGAGCACTGGTACTCATTAGATCATTCCTGATATAGAGTTTTAATCGTACAAAATTTGCAAGTATACGATATCGCAAATAAGTAATGAGTAAAATATTGTTTTCACAACGATTACGTACTTAATCTAAGATTAATTAATGTGAACCTCAATCGAATAGCAAATTTGTATTAAGATTTTATGCTAATTATCGAATTTTCATAACTTTTCTAATGATCAAATTATGAAGTCTTTTTTTTTGTAAATTTAGGTGAGATAATTACTAAGATTTTGAATCCCTCTTATTAATCCGTTTCAATGCAATTTAATAGTAAGATAATACGTGTTCATTCTTGTTGATCAATGTTCATAATTTAATTAATAATCTCTTTCGAGTAAAATTAAATATATATATTCTTACGCGACCTTCCTATATTTATATGAAAGATGCGGACATGAAAGCATACTTTAAAAATGCTATCTATTGAAATAATGTAAAGTATATCAGTATGTCTCTATCCTTTATCGAACTTCACAATTGTTGTTATAATTGCAATCTATCTTATTGTCTCTTTCAATAATAATAAAATTCATACAACATTCCAATTAATAGTTAATTAATTGAAAAATATTAAGTTCCACAACTATCATCTAAGAGAACATGAAAGCATACTTTAAAAATGCTATCTATTGAAATAATGTAAAGTATATCAGTATGTCTCTATCCTTTATCGAACTTCACAATTGTTGTTATAATTGCAATCTATCTTATTGTCTCTCTCAATAATAATAAAATTCATACAACATTCCAATTAATAGTTAATTAATTGAAAAATATTAAGTTCCACAACTATCATCTAAGAGTACACATAATGGGCGTCAAATTATTGAATTTTTATTAAAATTTCATAACATGGGTTCATCTAAGTCTTAGTTATTGAAAATCTAGCCTAGCATTACAAAATTACAAGAAAACATGATTAATTGATTTAACATAACCCGATTTTTAGATTAATGAAGCAGAAGATGGTGAATCTTGAACTTTTTGAATTTCTTCAATTATTTCTTGATTGAATTCCAGTAAATTCTTCATGTTTTTCCCCAAAGTCTTGGTTTGATCTTCAATTGACGATGGCCTTGTAATTCCTATTTAATTTTCTCACAAGAATGATAAATTTGCCTTCCTTTGATTATGATAATTTATGGAATTTTGGAGTATGAGAGGCCCTTTAATGTTGTGGCCACGTTCTCTATTTATATGAGTTGAAAATAGGTCAAAAAGGTGTAAAAATTGGTTTTCAAATTGAATTTGACATGAAACAGGGAACTGCTATGAAGGTACCAAAATTTCCTCTTAATTGCTCTCGGGTTCCTCCACTGGCGGATCTAGGCACGGGCTCGACCGTGCTATAGTCCATGTCCGTTTTTCATCTGTTTGACCACAAAATCGTCAGTTGATCCCAAAAACTAAAAATTTAATTATTTCCCCAAAATAAGGTAAGAACATTTTGGATAAAACACAATTTTCCTATCAAATAAAAAATAATAAATTAATAATAAAACCACAACCCATCCCCATTTCCTTCTTCCCCAAATCAAAACCACTCCACCCAACCACTACAATCATCGTCAGTAGCCACCACTACCCACTGGCATCACCACCACTGCCCACCCAACAATACTCATAAGGTTACAACGTCTATGCAACTTCTGGCCAGTCCTAGTCGAGGGTCCAGATCCAGTTTCTGTTGCTTCCTTTTCCGGTCGCGATGCATCTTCTCTTCAGGTTACATCCCACAAATTAGATGGTAAAAATTACCTACAGTGGGCTCAATCCCTCAAAATTGTCATTTGTGGCCGAGGAAAACTAGGCCACATCACCGGTGAACTTCCTTCTCCTAACCCTACTGATTCCACATAATGACTTGGCTGTCCAAGAACTCTATTGTTCTTGCCTGGCTTATTAATTTATTGGAACCTAAAATCAGCCTTCGATACCTCTTTTTTAAAACAGCCAAAGAAGTCTGGAATGTTGCTCGTTGTTTGTAATCTGATCTTGGAAACGTTTTCCAAAATTTTGAACTTCGTTCCAAATTGAAAGAGATAAAACAGAGCTCTAATTCCGTGACTCTGTATTTCTCTAATCTTCAAGATGTTTGGCAAGAACATGCTTTCTTTATGACGATTCCTCTTGCGCTAGGTGCAGTTTCAAACAACAGCACAACCGTGAAAAAGAACGAGCCTATGATTTCGTTCCTGGTCTTAATCATAATCTGGATGAAGTACGAGGCTGAGTGATCCAATTCATTCCACTTTTGCTGAGGTTCGATGATGAGTGATTTACACTCATTATATTATGCCATTAATTTCATGATTTTGCTATCTTGGAGAGTATTTTAGAGGTGCTAACATGTGATTTTCACGCTATATTGAAGGATGGATGAAGTAGAGAAAACAAGTGCTAAAAGAGGCCAAATGAAAGAAATAGGAAAAAGTTGGCGAAATTGGATGAAAGGACCAAAATGTAAGAGATCCAAAGTTCGAAGACTAGAGTGCACATAATCAAAAGTTGTATCAGAACTTGCAATGAAGATCCGAGAGTGGTAGGAGTCAATTGGATGAAGGAAGGTGTCAAAAAGGATCAAATTTAATCAAGATATGATCATAAATCACTTTCCAACCGAAAAGTTTTGCACCGAATTTTTAGTCCCACATTCAGACCCATTTTCGACATAGCAAACGATCGAATTGGAGAATGATGCCTGAAGTAAAGTTGTAGCCCTTTGAATTACCTTTCCAACGCATCTTGAATCACTTCAATTGGATGTCGAACGAGAAAATTATGCTGAAAATACTGAAATACGAGCAGAATGCCGTTTCGGGCGAACCGGGCGCCCAGGCGCCACAATGCTATAATTCCAACAGAAACTAGTGCCCAGGTGCCCAAATCGCAGCGCCCAGGCGCTACATTCCTAGAAAGGGAAATTCAGATTTCTAAAATATATTTCTCGGTCCAAATCGATTCCAACCCGTCCAAAACTCCTAGAAACTATAAATATCACCCAAAAACCTAAAAAAATGGGAGAGCCGCACATTACAAATCTGTGGAAACCAGCCACGTATAGGGGGAACGAGCAAGAGAATTCTGGGGAGAACAGTCGGCAATTACAGAACAATTGAAGGGGATTTTCATTGGCTCAAACTTCTGGGATTGAGAAGGAAGAAAGGAGAAAAAGGGGCATGGCCGGAAAGACAAATACAATTGAAGGAATTAATTTTGGGGAAGAAATCAAGCTGCTACAAATGAGTTTTTTCATTCCTTTTTCTTTTCCATGTGCTTTCATTCTAATTTACTTGTGTTAATTCTTTCAATTATGTACTAAACTTTAATCCTAGGGTTGATGTAGCTTGCTTTAAACATGTTTGAATTCCGTTTTAATTATTTCAATTAATCTTTCCGTTTATTTATTTATGTTGTTTGTGCGCAATGCTTTCAATTAACTGGCCACTAATTGATTGATTTGATGTTCTAAATTTTGGCGCTCGAGAGAGGCAAATTTAGGCATGATCTAAGACAATATAACCTAGATTTCGTAGGTTTCGAGAGAAGGTGCGAATTTTGAGGCTTGTTTTAATTAAGAACCACGTGCTTGATAATTTTTATAAATTTAATTCGAAATAGAGATATTGGAATTAAAATATAGAAATAGATTTTATTTGGCGTTCGAGAGAGGGAAATAGAATTACTTTAGCGTTCTTGCCTATAAATTTTGGAAAGATCGATAGAAATAGTTATACGGTTGAAAAACATTGTCGAAGGTACGATGAAATCATTCCATAGGCATTCATATTTTGATAAGAAATTCTATAATTTATCCTCATTTACTTGTGTCGTTCATCCCATTTATTTTAATTTAGCATAAAACATCGTTTCAATATATGATTGTCTAAATAAAGTGAGGGCTAAAATAATTATAGTACTAAATTTGCTCGAATATCAATCCTTGTGGGTTCGACATCCAAACTTCTTTACTATATTACAAAACTTGACACCGTACACTTACGGTTTAAAAATCACGTTGTATAAATCGCGTGGCATT